ACCGTGGCAATCTCTGATTGTAAGTTCAATTCGCCAGGCCGTTCCAGATGAAAGGTGGTGCCTTTTGACCCGACTACCTTGTTATCATGCTATCTCCCTCCCACATACAACACGATCTCCACAAAATAAAAAAAACATGCCAAAAAACACCCCAAACATTCATCAATTCCCAAAATTCGAACAAAAAATATCAATTACAGCGAAAACGGCGGACAAGAAAGATGAAAATAAAATGCATGATAAAAGCGTCGTTCAGCACCCGTCAAATGTCAAGAAACTGAGGAAGCGGAGGGAATTGCCATGGAATTTCATTTAGATTAGAGGCCAAGATAAAGTGGCCAGTCGATGAAGCGGAAAATTTATTTCGGACAATCGCCTTAAGGGGAAGTAAGAGAGAACTTGGATGATATGAGTGTTAATGAAGTGTTTTCGGATTGAAATTTTTTAATTTCTTGGCAGGTTTTGCAATTTTTATAATTCTGTCGGGAAAATAATGAGCACTCAGTCGCATCTAAAGTCGTATCGTCGCAAAAAATTAATTGTGTCATAACAAAATCAAGCTGCTTTTCACTTCAGCGACGCGATTGGCGCAGCGACGTTGTGCTCACTATTTTCCCGACAGACTGATACATATTTCACAAGTCACCAAAAGTCACGCAGTTCTTGCATTTCTATCAAATTTTGGGTACATTCCCAAGAGGAAAAAAATATATTCCGCAAGTATGTTCTGAGAGAACACGGAAAACAAGGAGCGTCGGCAAGACGGAAGGCGTTTTTTACCATTATGTAATATTGCCCAAAAAACAGTGATAACCTTTATTAAATCGATAGGAAAATTGTAATATTGTTATATCAACCTGTCGGGAAAATAACGAGCGCAATGTCGCTGAAGCCCCGCTGAAATGAAAAATCAATCTTTTCACGGTCCGCACCATGCACAAAAAACACCCCATTTTGCACCGTGCATTTTGACAAGCATGGGAAACGTTGAAAAATGCACTGTGCAAAAATATAAGAAATATCCATGCACTTTATGAAAATATTCAAGGCGCACACTTCAAGCTGCGCCCTAGCATTTTTAGTCAACTTTCAGCAAGGCTATTAGTCAAAAAAAGATGACCGCAATGTCGCTGCGTCAATGGCGTCGCTGAATTGAAAATCAATTTGATTTTGCCGCGACACAATTTATTTTTTCGGCGGCGATGCGATTTTCAATGCAACAGGGTGCTCATTATTTTTCCGACAGACGTTGTGACCTCTTCAAAAAGTGCCCTAACTCTACGAATTTTTGCACGCTTAGGACCTGATGGGACTCGAACCCACAATCTTCGGTTTAGGAGACCGACGCCTTATCCATTAGGCCACAGGTCCATGCTGGCGGCAGCCGCTCTTTTTCTCATTCAAAAAAAGAGAGGAATGAAAAAAAACTGAAAAAAGCGATAATTTTTTTTGTTTTTTTTTATTGCACAAGGTTTCTATCTATTTTTATTTATTTTTTGACCGTTTTTTGAAGAAATGCAGGATTTTTTTTGTGTTTGAAAAAATTCCTTTTGACAAATTGCCGGAGGCCGTTTTATTTGGCCAAATTTTGTTTTCGACTTTTACATTTTTTTTTTGGCCAAATAAGGGTATCATTCAAAAAAACATGTTTTGTTTTTTGCCTTTTTCTGTATTTTTTTATTATTTACAGTCAAACCACTATACAACGAATGGACAAAAAAATATTTGTTGTAAAAGGCTTTCATTATATGAAGTTTTTTTGTATATTTTAACTTAAACTTGGCTCTTAGGACCTGCAAATAAATTTTGTTTGTTATAGAGAGTTTTCGTTACATGAAAGTTTCCTTTACCAATTTATATTGTAAAACACGTGATGTTATATATCGTCTAAAAATAATATTTACAAGACAATGTATTCAATTTTTTATGACCTCCCGAAAATTTCCCCCCGATTTCCGTTGGCAACACGAGGAAGAGAAAAGTCACGTGACTCCGCTTTCGGAATGGCCTTTTGACCAAAAAGGGGCTTGTTTGTTTTTGTCAATAGCGTTTAGAAAATATGTAAAAATGGGAGACATTTTTTATCAGTCTGTCGGGAAAATAATGAGCGCTGAGCCGATCGTGTTGCTGCAGTGAAAAGCGATTTGATTTTGCCGCGACAAAACTTGATTTTCTCGGCGATTTTCGATGCGACAGAATGCTCATTATTTTTCAGACAGATCGATATTTTCATAAAGTGCAAAGACATTTTTTCGCGGCCCGCACTATGCACAAAGAACTCCACTTTGCACCATGCTAAAAAATTTGCGCAGTTTGTGATTGGCACTGTGTGAAAGGTTCAAAATGCACTGTGTAAAGGCGAAAAAATGTTCATGCACTTTATGAAGATCCTATCAGTCTGTCGGGAAAATAATGAAATAATGAACACTCTGTCGCATGGAAAATCGCATAGCTGTAGAGAAAATCAACTGCGCCGCGACAAAATCAAGTCGCTTTCGACAGAGTCTTCATTACTTCCCCGGCTGACTGTTAGTCCGTTTGCAGAGTCGCTGGAGTGAATTTCGAGACATCCGCTGTATAAAAAAATGCTTTGCACTATGCAATTTCTTTCTTTTTGCTCTGTGTAGACATTTAAAATCCAGAATCTCGAAGTGAAAATTGGGTTTGATAATGAAAATAAACGTAATGTCAAGACACAATTAGTTTTTTTTCAGGGTTTTTTGTTTTTAGATAGCTATGGAACACAGTATTTATCCATTTACATGATGATAGAAAAAAATTTGGTCATAAGGAGTTAGACTTACTAGGGAAGTGTACAAACGAACCCTCACCAAATGGCAAGTGATATACACCATTGGAAAGCCCTTGAAAAATGGTGAAAGATACCATTTTCATTTTTTGCAGAATGCCTTTCCGCGACGACATACTGTAAATTTCATTATTTTTAGATCATTTCGCAACAAAAATCTTTTTTTCTCTTGGGCGGATAAAAATCCTCGGAGAGGGTTGCTTCAATAGTGCAGTGGTTGCTAAGCAGGCTGATAAGCCAAATCAAGCTAGGTTCGATTCCCAGCTTGGGCAAAAACATTTTGCGTTCTTACAGTTAGGATAATATTTGAGTTAAACTTTTACAAACGCTTTAATTTTTCTAGAAAACGGTCGATTACGGTTAAAACCATCAAACTTACATGTTTTTCAAAATTAAAAAAAGTGAAAAGTGTTTTTTCATGTTATGGGTGTTTAAAACCAGTAAATATCATATGTAAAATGGTTTTACTGGCAAGCGCCAAACTTCATAATGATTCTTAGGCCAACCTAGTAGCAATATTTGCCATTTAGCGTTTTGAAATAAGATCTATTTTGCCCCACAGCAGATATTGTAACTACTTAAGGGACAAATCAACCGTTTATAATTTTTTTCCCTGAGGCATTCTGCAAAAAATGAAAACGGTACCTTTCACCATTTTTCAAGGGCTTTCCAATGGTGTATAACACTTGCCATTTGGTGAGGGTTCGTTTGTACACTTCCCTAGTTAGGGAGACTTTCATTTCAGTGGGCCGGCCCGGGCCGGGCCGAACCAAACTCAACACGGGCCGGGCCGGGCCGACGGAAAATTTGAAACGGGCCGGGCCGGCCGGAACCCTTCAGGCCGACGGGTCGGGCCGAGATTTTCGGCCCGGGCCGGCCGACGAGCCATGTCTAGCTCTGTGCAATAGGCTTTTTTCGGCTGCCGCTTATATACACCTTGACTTTGTCTGCGCAGCCCAAAGCATTTCAGCGACTTTACGAACGGACTAGTATCAGTGTATAACTGTATTATGTCACGATTCCGTGAAGAATTCTCAGGAATTAGCATAAATACGAATATTTTGATATAAATGTAATGGATCGACCGCTTTTCGGTCACTTTTTCCGGCGAATAAATATTTGTGTGATCATTTTTGGAAAGTTTCCTTGGTACGAAGAGCGGTGGAGGAAATTACTTGAAGTCAACACGTGAGTTCACCTTTTTTCTTGCTGGGTTTGAGTCTCCGCGTTAGGTAGGAGCAACTAGTGTAGCGGGCGAGTCAGGCAGGACTACTCATACTCAAGTTGTGACATGGCGACCACCACCCGAAACCTCTCGTCTTCACCCCAGCTCGCCTCTCGACTAGTTGATCTGTCCGTAGCTGATAGCCGGAGCGTCTCTCCCCCAATTTCTCCTGTTGTTCGTAATTCCACTCAAATTAGACGGAATATTACGACCAGGCTCAATCAGTTGATTCGAGATTTCCCCTCTCTTGTTTCTATCCTTGAATTGATTAGTGCACTCGAGACCCCCCGTGATGACTTCGTCGATCCCAATGTTTCGGAATATTCAGATTTTCCTAGAGATTTGGAGTATTTCCAAGATCGCATTGATATAATTGATCAGCAATTGATCAAGTGGGACGAAATTATTGAAGAATTGTCATTGGTTGATATTGAGGCTTCTGTACTCGAGGAGGGCATCAAAAGAAAATATTTCGAGGATCATCAATTGGACACTAACTTGGGAAAGTTTCGTCATCTTTGTCGATCTGGTTTATTGCATTCTAGGAGACTCAAGTTAGTAATTCCTGAGCAAAGATCTAGTAGCCTCACCACTTGTATTTCCCCGACTTCTCGTCGTCAGTCCCCGGTCATGCACCGTGCATTCACTCCAGACCAGCAATTTCCTCCCGATGAGCTTCCTGAACCACAATTTCCTCGTCAGAGTGCATTCCGATCAACTCGTGATCCCCAGGTACAGAATGAGCCATCGTTTCACCCCGTGCAGAACTCGGCCTTGAACAGTTTTTTGAATAGACCATATCCTATTCGTCCTTCCCCTCCAGAGCAACCATGGAATCCCAAAATGGTCAAACTCCCCAAATTCGATGAGATTCCAAAATTCGATGGCGGATTGACCAGTTTTAAACCATTTTGGGACTATTTTGAACCCCGTATTCATGCAGTCGAGGCGCCAGCGTATGAGAAGATGATCAGACTCCAGCATGCCCTCAAAGACGGAGCTGCAGCCTATATCGTTGATAATAGGGAAAGAACTCGTGAGGATTACGAATCGGTCATCACAATCCTTACGACGCGTTATTTGAATCGGTCCAAAATTGAAGATTTTCTTGAGTTTGAGTTGTTAGCTATTCCTTCTCCCACCCATAACAGCTCTCGTTCTCTTCTCGAATTTGCAGATAGGATTGATACCTTCAGATCTCGGTTCAAGCATAACAACAGCGAAATCCCTCGGACTATAGTTAAGAAATTATTTTTGAAACTTGATACGAAGACTAGAGAGCATGCTACTTTGAGAAGCTCTGTGAAAGGATATGATCTTCATAATATCAATGATTTCCTCACGTTTCTATATGAATTAGCATTGGAAATGGAACAGTGGCAGCTTTCCTCTGATAATGTGTCCCAAAAGCCCCAGGTTCCTAATCATCCCGTTTCACGTCCAAAAGGTGATATTGTCAGACCTCCGCGCATTGAAAGACCTCCTGCTTCGAATGTTGTCCTCAGTTGTCCATTTTGTTCAGAGACTCACAAAGCTTCGGAATGTCCCAAGTTCAAATCGTATTCGGAAAGAATTGAGTCGTTGAAGTCACAAAGACGGTGTTATCGTTGTTTCAGTCCCGATCATATGATCACTAGGTGTCATCGAACTTTTATTTGTGGGAAATGTCGTAGAAATCATCAAACCTTTATGTGTTCCCCTCCGAAAGGATCCTCCAATTCCACTCCGTTAGGTAACATTGATAGTGGAGTAGAACCGTCTTCGCCAGCGTTGGTTTTTGCTATTACAAACAATGGCCAGTTTGATTGTCAGGGTGAAACTCAGGACACCACAAGCCAACTCCCCGTGAAGTATTGTTGTTTTTCAGCTAACGCTGAGATACCTCAGAGCAAGGTTGCTCCCCACCCGGTTCATGTTTTCATTGATTGCGGGTCAGATTTGAATTTGATTAAAAAATCGACCGCTCTTTTGTTGAATCCACGTTTGAAATTGAATGGAAATTTGAATATTGGCACATTGAATGGGTCTATTGGATCCAAGACCTCTCGCTTGACAGTATTGTTTACTCCCGGTGCTCAGGATTCCAGTAATCTTCCCCCGATTCCTTCAAAGCCCGTCGAAATTGTTCTAAATGTCGTTGATGACAAATTTTTCGATAAATTGAAAGGTCCAAAGTTCTCGAAGTCGGTTGACACATTGTTGGGTGTGCAAGCGATGACGAAATTGAACATGACTGTCACAGATTCCAGAAGTCCCTCCGGCTATACGCTTGTGAAATCGTCCTTAGGGTACTTCGAAGCCGGTGCTCCCCTATCATACGAGCCCGTGCACCCCAGTCATACTCTTCAGGCTCACGTCTTATTCCTTCAAAATCAGAGCCGTCCGGACCCTTTTGAATCCATCCAGGACTTTGATCTAGTCCGTTATAGTAATTGGACAGATAGCATGGGTATCACCAAGGAAGATAGTTTATCGAAAAGAGAATCAGATCTCAAAACTCTCGAATTTGTGCTCAAGAATACGACTCAGGATCCTCAAACTGGTCGGTATTCGGTTCCTTTGCCGTTCAAACATGAGAAAACCCCTCTAGTTCTCCCGGATTATAAGAAATGTAGGGCTCGGTTATCAGGCATCATTAGACAGCTTCAGAAAGATCCCAAATTGCTTGCTCATTATCATAAGAATTTTGTGGATCAGGAATCTAACGGTATCATTGAGAAATGTTCGGTTTTCGAGTACACGAAGGGTAAGACTAGATATATTCCCCATCTCCCTGTAGCTCGACCGGATCATCCTACCACCCCGGTTCGTAATGTATTTGATGCTTCTTCTAAGGATGAAAGCGACCAGTCCCTGAATTCTATGTTGAATCAAGGTCTCACTCTTCTCCCGGATTTACCATCCACGATTTTGTCAGTCCGAAAAAGCAAATATCTAGCTATAGCGGACCTTGAAAAAGCATTTTTGATGCTAGATATTCATCCTGAATACCGTGACTATGTTCGTTTCTTGTGGGTTAAAGATCCATCTCGTCCTCCAACTCAAGATAACCTCCAAGCCTACAGATTTCGAAGGGTTACATTTGGGTTAGTTTGTTCTCCAGCTTTGTTAGGTGCTGTCCTCCATCATCATATCTTGAAAAATTCGGACATTCTCGGTCAAGAAATGACGGAGTCCATCTTGAAAACGCTGTATGTTGATAATATGTTCATCCAAGCAGATAATCCTGACCTCGTATCAGACACATGCCAAAAATTGAAAAAGATTTTTTCGGACAGTGCAATGAATTTGCGAGAATTTGCGTCGAATATTCCTGACTTCGTTGACAGTTTCCCTCCTCACGATTTGGCCTCAGGCGTCCTTCAAAAAATCCTGGGTATGGGTTGGAATACGTTAACCGATCAGTTATCGTTAACTCCAAAAGAACCAAAGAAACTTGAGATAAAGTGTGATCCTTTGCAGTTTCAAATGAGAAATTACGACCCCAATGGGTTGATTTCGCCAGCTATTTTGCCGATTAAGAGAATTAATCAGGAGCTGAGCCAAATTCCCAATGGGTGGAAATCAGAATTGTCAGAAGAAATAAAACTTCGCCTACAAACGATTGTAGACGGTTGGTCGGTCGAAAAAATTTTGGTTGATAGGTATTTTGGGCCCCCTCCGTACTCTTTGCATGCCTTCTCGGATGCTTGTTCTTATGGTATCGGTGCGTGTATTTATATTTCCTCCGTTGATCAGTCTTTCCCCCCGGCATTGGTATATGCTAAGGCTAATGTTAAGCCCTCTAACATAACTCAGTCAATACCCAACCTCGAGCTTTTGTCCACAGAAACGGCTGTATTACTCATGTCGAACGTCTCCAAAACCTTGTATCCCCATGTTGAAAAACATTTTGTTTGGTCTGACTCTGAAATCGCACTCAAGAAAATTGAAAATCGAGATAATCGTGAACGGTTTGTGGCCAACCGTATCAAATCCATCTATTCACATGTTCCCGATGGTACCATTTTTCGTCATGTTCCTGGTGAACAAAACCCAGCTGATGTAGCTAGTCGTGGGGTACCTCTAAATGAGCTCAGAACTCTTGACATTTGGTGGCATGGTCCTAGTTTTCTAAGAGATGAAGCTTACAAGCCGTCGATGGCATTTGTCCTCAAGAATAGTGGAGCCACTGTCGACTATGAAGCAGATTGTTTCCACGTTTCCGAAGAAGTATCAGAGACTCAGTCCCTGTGGCAACTGTTTTTCAGTCAATTCCCCCAAGGTTGCATCGAAGATTTTTGCAAATCACATGAATTTTTTGTCACTTTGAGTTCCGAATTGAATCAGTTGAACGGCTGGCTTGAAAAAGCAATCCGTCTCGAGCAAGAGCGCAGTCCTCCTTCAAGTAGTCAGATAAAAAATTGGAGATTGAGAAAAGATTCGCTTAATCTATGGCATATTGACGGTCGGATCGTGAACTCTAACTTCGGATTCCGGAGAAAGAATCCTTATTTCATAAGTCAGAAGTCGTCGTTGATCCCCTTGGTTATCAGAAAATTGCATGAATGTCATGGGCATATGAACTCTTCGTCTACATTACAAATTCTCCGTGAATATTTTTGGTTTCCGCAGTCTAGAAAGATTATCACCTCGTTGATTATCAAAGCTTGTCCTAATTGTGCTCTCGATAGGAAGACTTTTACTCCCCCATGCTATCTCCCAAAATTACCGGAAACACGAACCCAGTTTGACTTCGTTTTCCAAGATGTTGGAGTTGATCTCATAGGACCGATTGCTACACAAGAAGGGCCAATTCACATCATTCTGTGGACTTGTTTGACATCCCGTGGAGTTTTTTTGGACACGTTGTATCCAGCTTCGGCCAAAAGTTTCCTTAATTGTCTTGATAAGTTGAAAGCAATATATGGCCTTCCCAGTTCTATCCTTAGTGACCACGCATCCTACTTTGAGTTAGCAAGGAAAGCTATCATGATTGCTCAAAATGAAGGTTTGGTGGTTGAGGAATTTTGTCAAAACCAGAAAATTCGGTGGAATTTTACGGTTTCTAGAGCTCCGTGGCAAGGAGGTGCCTATGAAAGATTGGTTGCTCTCGTGAAACAACTTTTGACTAAAAAGTTTATCATATCTCGGCTGAAAGCGAAGAGTGAATTAAAAACGGCTCTTCCTCATATTGCTACCGTTATTAATTGTCGACCTCTTACCATAGTCAATTCGAAATCCCCGATAATCTTAACCCCAATGAATATGTTGTGTCCTCTACGCCAACCGTTGTCGCTTCCAAGATTTGAGTTAGACGAAGTGTACACACCTAGTCCCCATGATTCCCCTGAAACTTTGGCTCAGACCTTCGCTAAAACTCAGAACTTTGTCGCCAAAGTGAAAGCTGTATGGAATGACATGTATCTCGAAACGTTGATAACGCAGAAATCCAAAAACTCCGTCGTGGCTCCTCCAGAATTCGTTAAAGGGGATCTTGTAGTCTTCTCGTCCGATAAGCCACACGGCCCAAAATACGAGATTGCCAGGGTAGACAGAGTGAGGAGCAAAGATCAAGTGCCAGTAGAAGTGGTGTTGGAAACCGATGCCAAGAAGACCGTCTCCCGTCACCCCAGATCAGTCAAGATGTTGTTCCCGGTTAAGAAGCTCAGCCAGAAGGAGACCAAAGATGTGGCGCGCCCCCCGGAGACACCATCAAGTGGAAGCAACACTCCAGGCCCGGAGTGTCACGATTCCGTGAAGAATTCTCAGGAATTAGCATAAATACGAATATTTTGATATAAATGTAATGGATCGACCGCTTTTCGGTCACTTTTTCCGGCGAATAAATATTTGTGTGATCATTTTTGGAAAGTTTCCTTGGTACGAAGAGCGGTGGAGGAAATTACTTGAAGTCAACACGTGAGTTCACCTTTTTTCTTGCTGGGTTTGAGTCTCCGCGTTAGGTAGGAGCAACTAGTGTAGCGGGCGAGTCAGGCAGGACTACTCATACTCAAGTTGTGACAATTAATAAGATATACTATACAGTAGCCAAAAAAATCCATGGTGGAAAGGGTTAAGCCTCATAAATCTTCTCGACTTTATGACTTCCAGAAAAATGTCTTTGCTTTTTGTGCAGTCAAAGTTTCAAAGTACACTTCTTATTTATCTTTCACTCCGACACACAAACTTTTTCGTAGCCCATACCTTAACATAGTATAAATTGAACAATTTAAAGATTCTCTTCATTACATTTCCTTACATAAATAGTTTCCACTCCCTCTCCCGTTGAACGCAATTAGAATTAGCGCAAAGATTTTTGGGATTCTTTGACTTTTTCGACCTTGAAGCGCTGGCTAACCGCGCGCCGATCGAACGACCCTCTTTTTTTCGTCTTTTCCGATAATATTCTTTCTTTTGTAGTGGGAAAAGTTTTTTGGATGTGATCTCGTGATGTTGCTGGTTCAATTTTACCTCGGATTTTATGTACAAACTGCACTACTGTAAAATATACTGCTTTTATTTCAGTTAGAAAGCGGGGGTTGGGAACTTGCTGGAAGGAAATTGTAAAGAGAAAAAGGATGAGCGACAAGTATAAGAAACGACAAAATGGTAAGTTCCTTCTGGAAAATCATGTAGGGGTCTGCAAAAAGTTTCTGTTACTGCAGATTCATTTTTAGAAAAATTTTCAAGAAAATGTTGTTTTCGTTTTTGATGAAAATTGGCATGAATTTTTGGTGGGACACAGATTTTCTTTAAATTTTGCACAGATTTTACGCATAGGCCACGTTTCAATTCCTGAAAGTTTGAGCTCTCGCTTTGCAGACTCCGCGGAAATATTCAACAATTTTTGTGGCCGAGAGAGTACACTAAGCGCGGAGAGCGCTCAGAGAGAAAAATTCTGAAGTAATTTCTTTGCCAGTTTCGTGCAAAAAAAACTTCTTGTGGAAATATTACCCTTTACGGTAGGAAGGGACAAGAAAATTTTTAATGCAAAAATTCAGCAAAAAGTGTCGCGGGAAATTCAGAGGTTTCATTTGCGAATCCCCACAATTTTTTTTTCTGTTGGCGAGGTCCTTCGCCAAGAAATGTCTACATTTAATAGAAATGCGATTTGTTGTCCAAAGTTGCATTTTGAACTACTAGCATTTTCATAAAGTGCGTGGACTTTTCGTCGTGAGCCGCACTGTGCAAGAAAAATGTCATTTTCACAGTGTCTTTCGACTTTTCAAACAAAATCTCTGCGATGCAACCTTTTTTCCATTGCGCAGCCGCGAACTTTGCTCCCGCGATAGACAATAAAGTCTACGCACAGGGTGGTTCAGCTAAGTTCGCGGATGTAAAATGCTTATAACTTTTTATAGGATTGTTCAATTTTTATGAGCAATAGCTCATTTTATTCCTTAGTAGTTGCCATTTTGTTTAAAAAAAATATCATTAAAAATGATCAGTCCTGCGTCGAGTTATGACCCTTCAAAGTCAAACATGCTTTTTCACGTAAATTTTAAAAAAATTTACGGATTTTTTCGGATTTTCGGATTTTTTTTGATTCCATCGTATTCTACGCAAAATTCTATGACTTCTGAAGCCCACTTACAATTTACAATTATCGACCGGTCGAAAGTTATAAGCGATTTTCGAGATTTTTCGGAAATTTTCAGATTGAAGCGTGAAAAGGCAAGTTTGACTTTGAAGGGTCATAACTCGACGTAGGATTGATCATTTTTAATGATCTTTTTTTTAAACAAAATGGTAACTACTAAGGAATAAAATGAGCTATTGCTCATAAAAATTGAACAATCCTATAAAAAGTTATAAGCATTTTACATCCGCGAACTTAGCTGAACCACCCTGTACTTTACGAAAGTGCTATTCTCAGTATGACTGGAAAATAATGACCGCAATATCGCCGCGCCAATAGCGTCGCTGAACGAAAGTGCTAGCATTTTTGATCACCATCATCCATAAGAAATCCAAAATTCACTTCTATTTTCCCTTCCTTGCTAAATCGAGCCGCTCTCACTTCTCACTGCCGCTCTCCCTCTCTGCCCCCCAAAAACAAAAAAAAAAAAACACGCAAAAAATTATGTTTCGAAGACTTTCGAATTTCGAAGGCTTTTGCAAAAAAAGCAAAACATTTTTTTTTTCTTTTTTCGGGAGCCTGTTTGATCCAGTTCTTTATCTTCCAATCCGAAAATGCACGTATTTCGTTTCTGCCGTTGGGTGTTTAGAAATAAAAGGCATTTCCAAGCGGATGATCGCTTGTTTTTCTCTGTTGTAGTAATTTTTTGGTTGTTTTTGTGGGAAAAATTGGAAAAGTTGGGAGGTTTGGAATTTTTTGCGATTTTTTAAAGTTTTTTGATGAGAAACGCGGGATCTTTGAGTGGGAATTTGGGGTAAAATACGGTAATTGATCGATTTTTGTTGCTGGAACAGTCATCAGGAAGGTGAAAAATTTGACATTTTCTACGAAAAATCGATTTTTTTGCGATTTTTTGAATTTTTGTCTGATTTTTTGTTTTTCAAATTTTTTATCGTGTAAAATAAGGTAAAATACGATGTGTAATTGATTTCTGCGGCTAGAAATGTAAACAGAAGCATAAAGAATGTGATATTTTAGACGAAAATCCGGTATTTTCAAGATTTTTTAGAGATTTTTGCTGATTTTTCTCGTTTTTTCAAAATTTTTCATATAAAACAGAGTAAATAAAATGCGATGAACAATTAATTGCTGTTGCTAGACAAATAAGGAACAAAACGAAAAATTTTGATATATTTTTTTCCGAGATTCTTTGACATTTTTTATGATTTTTCTCAATTTTTCAAATTTTTTCGTACAAAACAAGGTAAAATACGACGACTAGTTGATTTCTTCTGTTAGAAAAGTAATCAGGAAGATGAAAAATTTGATATTTTTAACGAAAACGTTTTTTGATATTTTTTTTCCTAAAATTTTTCATATAAAATAAGGTAAAATACGCCGTTTGCAACCTTTGCAGCTTCATCCCCCACTTGTTCTCTCTTTATCACCACAGATCGCAACATTTTGCGATAAAAATTTTTTATTAAAAAAAACAATTTTTTCTCTACTTTTATCACCTTTTCTCCCAAAAAGTCGGATTTTCAGAGTTTTATCGGATGACAGACGCTTCCAATCCCATTGCCTATGGAGTTCGCTATGTTTTGGAGGTGTTTCGATGGATTTTCTTTGTCATTTATTCCATTGGCAGGGGAATTTTCCGGACAATCGTTCCGAACTCAGTGTTGCGGAAGAAGAGTTTGAATGGAAAGGTGGGGATTATCTAATATGTATTGCGTCTTTTTGAACAATCTTTGTGCTGGATTGGACTCTAAACTTTAGAGCTCAAAGGTTGAGAATTATTTTCAATGAAAATTGGGATAAAAGAAAAAAATTTTTCCTATAAAATATTACAATTACTATAAAAAGCTCAAATGTGCGACGCACAGATTTTCTTGAAATTGCACACATGTCATATGGTCCAGACATCAATTCCTGAAAGTTTTAGCCCACGCTTTGCAGGCGCAGCCGAGATATTGAACGATCTTTGCGACCGAGAGAGTACGCGAAACGTGGAGAGTGGTCAGAGAGAAGAACAATTTTTGGCCATAGCTTTGCAAGTTTCGAACGGAAAATTTTTTTTTTGGGAAACTTTATTTTCTACAGTAGGAATAGGTATGCATAAAAAAATTGATTTTTTGTGGAAAAATTACTCTCTACGGTAGATATAGACTTTTTATGCTAAAATTTGCCAAAAATTGGCTCTTATACGCCTACTTTCGGCCTAAAAATCTCGGTTGTTTTTGCTCAGTGCAAGCTAAAAATCATGGATATACCTTAGAAAAAAATTCTATATATTTCTCAAGTTATATCAGAATCCGAGCGTCGCAATTGGAGTACTTCCACTGTGCCTACTTTTTTAATTTTCACCAACTTTTGGCCCAAAAATCTCAATAACTTTTGCAAAATGCGAGTTCATAAGTTCCCTCAATCTCGTTCAAAATCTTAGCCATGAACTTGCACCTCTTCCTCCCTCGGTTTCTCGCTTCAAAGTCATCAGAAAAACCCTGCTTCACCTCTATTCCATCCACATTTTCAGACCATTCTTCTGACCGGTGCTGGCGGTGGAATTGGCCGAGAACTGGCCAAACAATTGGCCGAGCAAGACGCTCGATTAGTCCTATGGGATCTGAGTTCCGTCGGTAATGACGAAACAGCACAGATTTGTCAGAAAATTGGGGCAAAAGTGTACTGTCAAACGGTCGATGTGACGGATAGGAAAGCGGTTTACCGAGCCGCGGACGAGTTGAGGAATGACTTTGGAGAGCCGGATATTCTAATCAACAACGCCGGAGTTCTGAATGCGTCACCGTTTTTGGAGTGTAATGATGATAAGATGTCCAAGTTGATCGATGTGAATACGAAGTCGTTGTTTTGGGTAAGAGAGTACTTATTTTTATATCGCGCTATGCAGAAACAACCGACAATTTTAGATCAAAATTTGGTAAAAATGAGATTTTTTTTTGACGAATTTTGGCATGAAAAGTTTCATGTCTATTTCTACTCTGGAGGGTAATATTTCCACAAAAAATCAATTTTTTCCGCTCGAAATTATCAAAGATATGGCCTAAAAATGTTCTTCTCTTAAAACCTCTGTACAACCAACTCATTCATAACAAAACTTTTATATTATGAACGCCTTTATAGGTCCAAGGGTCAACTATTCTTCCACAAAAAATCAGTTTTTTCCGCTCGAAATTATCAAAGATGGTCTAAAAAAGAGTTTTCTCTCTGACCGCTCTCCACTTTTAGCGTACTCTCTCGGCCGCAAAGGGAAAAATCATTCAATATTTCGACTGCGCCTGTAAAATGCAAGCTAAAACTTTGAGGAATTGATATAAGGCCTATGTCCGAAATGTAATCTTTACCGCTGAGAGAGTACGCAAAACGCGGAGAGCGGTCAGAGAAAAGAAACAATTTTTGGCAATATCTTTGCCGGTTTCGTGCGGCAAAAATTGATTTTTTGTGGAAACATTAACGTCTGTAGTAGAAACAGGCATGCAACTTTTCATCACAAAATCCACAAAAAAATATTTAATTTTTTCCAATTTTCCACCTAAAAATTTTGGTTTTCTCAGCTAAGCGCGCGATAAAATTTTCATTAATTTTATGGCTAAAAAATCTATTTATCACTGACCAAATTAACAAGACATTTTTGTCTTCAGGTAACCAAAGCATTCCTCCCGAAAATGGTCGACCGCGGCAGTGGGCATGTTGTAACGCTCGCGTCGATTGCCGCAATCCTCGGAGCCCCCTTGCTGGTCGATTATGCGGCCTCAAAACACGCAGCTTTCGGATTTATGCAGTCGTTGCAACTCCAACTCCAACTGATGAAAGCGCCACCAATTGCGTTCACAACAATATGCCCCTATTACACAACTACCCCGATGATAAATGATCTCAAGCAAGTTACACTTTTTGCTTTTATAATATTCGTTGTACAGGTCGCAAATAGTCGACAGTCGCTTCGCATTGCTGACGTCGGAATACGTGGCCAAGAAGACGATCGAGGCCATACGACTGGAGCAACGGGTTCTGATCATGCCCAACGAAATGGCCGCGTTTTATTCAATTTTCAGCCTTCTCCCATGGAATCTCGGAGAGTCAATCATCCTTCGACGTCGGGTATATTGAGTCGAAGAATCGGTTTCACTTGAACATTTATATAGGCGATTGTAATATCAATAATTTGTACGGTTTATTTTGTGCAGAAAAATATATGCAACTATACTATAAACTTGATTAGAATTTCAACCTACAGTAGAGTCATAATTATAACCCTACTTTAAAAATGAGTGTAAATTTTGTGATTGTCAATAGAAATGTGTCATATTTGGCACCAATGTGCATCAGTGTACTAGAAATGATGTGCCAAAAAATTATTTTGAAAAATTCATGATTACTATTCCAAGTACTATCATTGGTGACAGTATGAACACGGTATTATGAATTCTTGTTTTGTGTGTACTCGATCTTCGGCTCTCTCGCACAAGCTGTTTTTAGAGCCAATACTAGTACTTTTGAGTGAACAAAATGTCCAAAAAGTTTGTTTGTCTACTGCGCAGTATACTGTGCCAGTGGCGCTACGACTTTTCGGGTCAGCGACAGTTTTATCAACGATACTATGGATCGCGTCAGTTCGTCGTTGCATGTGGGAGACTTGGAGAAAGCTTAGTCATTAGTAATAATAAAATTGATCGGGTCCTAGCATAGCTTATCACCTATTTTGAGGCATTTTACATGTACTCACATCAATAATATCTAGATAAAAGTTACGGATATCCGTTTTTTGCCGAAATTTTGGTTCTTTTATATGTTACAATAAATCGGGGTAAAGAAAACTAGTGTTCGTAATAGCTAGAATTAGAAAGCATGAACATATTTCAAGCCTTTGCCGAGTCTCCGCCGAGCGTCCCCCGACCATCCAACGGCTTTGCCGGTGTTGTGGAGCCTCAAAGGTCTCCACAATTCCCATGGAAATTAGCATAAACCAACTCATATAAAAGCCACGTCTCGTCACCAATGAGCTTATTCTTCTTCGGTTGTTCCTTTTGCCGTGAATAAAAGAACTTCGTGATTTCGTGTGTGTCATTGTTCCCCAATCGGTGGTCTAACGTCCCCCGATTCCCCTTCAACTTTGAGCTCCAGTTCATGGGGGCTGAGCCGAGAATTGAACCATCCGGATTCATGGCCGTCTCCGGTATCAGCTAAACCGAAATCAGAAACGGTTAGCCTCCCAATGAAGCGGGTCGAGATCGATAGAGATCCGGTGATTCCTTTGACTCGATTAGAACAAACAAAGGTACTTACGATTTCAGACTCGTTTTTGGCGACGGTCCGTTATTTGGGAGAGAAATTGAGTTGTTCAGAAAGTTCAGCTCAAGATATCCTTCTTCGCCTCGATCAGTTGGCCGAACCCCGGTCGACCCGCGACCACGAACGGTTTGCTCTGGCCAAAAGAAGAGGAATTTGGTTTGTGACGGGGACTCTAGAGAAGAGTGAACTTCCCGAAGCGGAGAGACATCCGATCTTCCTCGCAAAATCATCTCGTATCTTACTAGGCGGGCCAAAAAGTCTTGACATGTCTGCACAGTGCGCCGTCGTGCATGAAATTTGTCGCGCGGCGACAAGAAAAATTCACGGTGCAATGCGACACCGCCCAGTGCAAAAAGATTGTTTTGAAAAAGGGTAAACAACGCACAGTGCGCTCTTCATTCGCACCCCGCCAAACTTTTATCGCGCGACACCTCGTCGCGACACCGAATTCATGCGCCCGCACGGTGCGAAAACACGTCAAGACTTTTTGGCCCGCCTAGTACCCAAGCTATTGGCCGATCTCCACTCTCGCCCCATAGGCACTTCCTACAGTCTTTTTTAGGGTACCCACCTGCCCTAAGCCCCGTATCGATTGAGTTTGTGTTACTCCGAACTGTCGTCGACCCAAAAATTGGTATCAATTACAATGATAAAAAATTCAATTTTGAGACTTTCGGTATATGAAATGCAAAAAATGCAAACCAAATAAACAACCAAACTCCTCTGATTTCTTGTGTAATAAACAAAAACAATCAAGGGTTTCATAAATTTCATTTTTATTGGGCCATCAATCAATTACATATACGGACGATCGGAATGGGAGAGACGATTCTGTTCTTCTCCCATAACCAGTGATGTACAAGGCTCTAACATATTTCATATTGGTGCTTTATGTTCTGACATGTGACTGCCAAAGTTCCCAAAGTTCCAAATTGTTTTGCCAGAAGCTGATAGAAGATACGAATAGTCAAGTGAATGCGAGGCCTAATTTCAGAGATCCGGTGGTTGCGGCGAGGATGAGTTTGGCGAAACAGATGGTAAGTTATGTTTGTATAATACATTTAAAGGGAAGCACGATTACTGTGTTTGGTCGATGTGAACCGTGAATTTTAATCGACGCCGTGTGACGAGTTTTTTCGCGCCGTGGCATGTCGTAAAGTAATGTCAAGACTTTTTTGGCCCAGTAATTTATCCTTTTGCTCGCAAGCTTAACTCCTAACCGGAAGCTTATATCAAATACATCAAGGCATCTTCCGATGCAGTTCAATGATCATTGATTTTGGGTTCTTTTTTTCTATTCTTTGTAGAACTTGCCGATCTCCCATTTCTCATCACCCGAGTGCTTCGACGGCGTTATGAAATGCCTCCAAAAACAGAAGAAAAAGGGAATATCAGATCCGATTCAGTGTTGTCAGCAATGCTCTTGATTGGAAATACGCATATCTTTGTGCAAAGGCGGGGTTCAAGCCCAAGATTTATTTATCCGAAATAAAGCTCATATCAGTCCTCGTTCGTTCCGTTACAGCTCATATAAGCTATGGAATTGGGTCCTGCGAGCATTGGAAACAGCAATGACTATCCATCTGTGTTCCGCTCCCAATACAAGTCACCATATCGTTCATGCAGGCGAACGGAACAAAGATTTTACGCCCAGCTTGGTTGAACTGAAACTGACTTTAGTCAACACGCCGACTAACAGGGGAAGTGCTAAAAGTACGACGCACGTCAAGACTTTGCGCGAACTGAAAGGGCTCTCACTGCAAAAAAATCCAAAAAAATCCGTCGCCCACACTGTCGCAGAGGTGAAAAGCAACTTGATTTTGATGCGACACGATTTCTTTTCTCTGCCGCGAATGTGATTTTCGATGCGACAGTGTGCTCATTATTTTCCCGACAGGCTGATAGTATAAAGCTAACTTTGACTCATAACAAACGACAAGCCATTTTCTTGACTTTTCCTTACCCTCGTAACCACAAAATTGATGTGGTGTTGCTTGACGGCCTCGACCCGCTCCGGTTGCCGTTTGATCCCGTTTAGCGCCTTCTTAATTGTCTCCTCACAATATTGCCGATGGGTTAATCTCGCACAAAAGGACAAGGAGACGCATAACAATAAAATCACAACAACCCTCATTTCACCTAATTGAAATTGTAAATGGATCCATGCTTTTATAGTGGCCAAAAGTTACTATAAATGCTAATAAGTGTAATTTTAATTTTGATAAATTAGCTCTCATTTATTTGTCAGAATATATATTTAGTACCATACCATAATGTATTACTCACTCCGATTCCTCTTCTTTGTCTTTTTCACCCTCTCCTTCCGCGTTCGATGCTCTCCCACATGTGTCATGTTCAATGCCATGCGCAGCTCCTCCTTGATCTCGTGTTTGCCCACCTTCCTCGATCGGCAGTAGTACTCAATTACGACGGAAATCGTGCTGAACACCAGGCCGGAGAAGAGGATCAGAAAGAGGCCCGAGACGTTGTAGAGGTTCAACGAGACCCTCTGCTGCTTCACCGAAGACCCCATCCCGGTGCAGGTGGCGCCCTTGCTTCGCCACCATTTCTGCTTCTTCATCTCGATGATGCCGCGCTTCTGGTACAGCAGGATCTGCTTGGAGATGCGGTCAGTCCATTCGGAGCCTGAAAATTTTGTATGAGATTGTCGGGAAAATAATGAGAAAGATCTCGAATCGAAAGTCGCATCACCGCCGAGAAAATGAATTGTGTCGCGGAAAAATTAAATTGCTTTTCACTTCAGCGACGCTTGTGCTCATTATTTTCCCGACAGACTGCTACATAATAAGTTTTCCAAGGGGATTGCAGTTCAGAGTTTATTTACAGGGTAACTCAGAGTTCGTGTTTTGCAGAAACGACCAAAATTTTTAGGTCGAAAGTCGGAAATTTTTCCATGAAAAGTTTCATGCTTCCTTCTACTGTAGTAATATCTTTACAAAAAAAAAACAATTTTTTCCCTCGCAGAACTGGCAAAAATACGGCCAAAAAGTGTTTTTCTCTCTGACCGCTCTCCACCTTTCGCGTACTCTCTCAGCGTCAAATATTACATTTCGGGTATATGCCACATATCAATCCTTTAAAAGTTTAGCTTGCTCTTTGCAGGTGCAGCCGGGAAATTCAACGATCTTTGTCTAGGAGAGAGTACGCCAAACGCGGAGGGTGGTCAGAGAGAGATACACGTTTAAACGATAATTTTGCTGGTGGTTTCGTGCGGAAAAAATTGACGTTTTGTGCAAATATTATTCGTTTTAAAACTGACTCTTATGGTTGCTAAAATTGTTCATAATATACAGTTTTTTTTACACGAGTTCGTTGTACAGAGGTTTCACTGTAGACGTATTTTATTGAAAGCCAAAAAAAGAAAGAAGTACGAGAGAAAGACTTGACCCAATGTGTCATCTCTGACATACAATAAAATCAAATATTACCTACCTTTCTGCAACGCTATGCCATAGCCCTTGGAACCTAAAACTCCACCGATTTGCGTTAAATTGCAGTTCTGCTGCACCTCATACTCCAACGAGCTGCTTTCCATCAAATACGCGTAGTTTTGAGCCAAAACTTTCTGCACACCTTCGCGATTCGAGCGAACAAAGACGTCGCGTTGCTGCATGAATCGCCACATTTTTTGATGCGACGGGATTTTGGATTCCTAAAATTTATTTTTTGACTTGCTACACAGTACAGTGGAGGACCTGATCCAGCGGCAAAAAACGTACCATTTTGCATCTAGGAAGTATCAAAAAATGTGGCAAAATATCTCCCTATCCAAGTGAAAAAACTCCGATTTCAAAATCGCGGCCACTCTTTTTGTGAGGGAAAGGGCGCGCCCTTCAACGCAGAGTTTTTTTTCACTCGGAGAGGGAAGCATTTTGCCACATTTTTGATACTTCCCGGAAGCAAAATGGTACGTTTTTTGCCACTGGATCAGGTACCCCACTGTAGTTTTCAATTTTGCTACACGCTTTTGCTACACAAATCTCCACTGCTCACCTGAAAGAACTGCATTGTCGAGCCTCCTCGAATGGTCCCGTACAAAATGTCGGTCTGATTGGCCAAATCATCCAGACTCCGGATCGGAATGTGCGGCTTGGAAACGGTCAGAACGGCGGCCAAATTCGCCGTATATGCTGATACAATCACCAACGTGAACATCCACCAGGTCCCGCCGAGCATTCGAGTGGAGACGGCGCGAGGACCAAAGTCACAACCCCCCTTCAACATGGTCGACATGACGTACCAGAGGGTGTTCCAGAAACTGAAATAAGAGAATGCGGTAATGTTCGGAAAGCATAGTTAAATTTACTCTCGCTTTTGGTAAGAGACACAAAAAAATCTCGCATTACCGAGAGAGTCCGAGAGAAACCGCTTTTGTTGATCGAATACCTGAAGTAGGGCTCAAAGTTGGAGCCATAACTTTTGACTAGGAGACTGCAGGTTGATGAAATTTATAGAACAAATAGAGTATGCAATAAGCTTCCTAAGAACATAAAAATTGTCACTAATCGTTACAGTATACCTAAATGCGCCGTGGTTTTACTTCAAAAACACAAAAAATCGATACTTTTTGAAAGTTGGGCTTATAAATCAACTAAACCGTAGGCAAGAATACTAAAATTGAAGCTGAGTGTCCTATGAGGTATCGGCTTTCATAATTTGGCAAAAAACGTACCATTCTGCATCCGGGAAGTATCAAAAAATGTAGCCAAATGCCTCCCTCTCCAACAAAAAAAACTCCGTTTTGAAGGGCGCGACCTTTCCCTCACAAAAAGAGCGGACGCGCTTTTGAAATCGGATTTTTTTCAATTGGATAGGGAGGTATTTTGCCACATTTTTTGGTACTTCGCGTATGCAAAATGGTACGTTTTTTGTCACTGGATCAGATCCGCCATTGTAAATCAGCTAAACCGTAAGCGACAATACTAAAATTAAACCTGATGTGAGTGTCCTATGAAGCAACGCCTTTCATAATTTAATAGATAAACGACACAACACTTTGACACACAGGGGATACTGTAAGCTCAAAAATCCCTTTTTATGCAAGAATTTTCTACCATTTCCCTCTCTACAAACCTGTAATTATTGGACAGTTGAATAGGCGCATCCTCGGCCGTATAAGTCGCCGCCGGATGAGGCTGATGTGCCGTACAACATGAGAAGTTCAGATTCCATTCGTAGGGCGTGATCTGGGCGCAAACGAACATCCCCAGCGACAGGGCGCATATCGATAAGGCGATGGAGACCCAAATCTCCAACGACAGGGGGTTCAAGAATGAGAATAAATCGGGCTGATGGTCCGCGGGGATTTTGAATAAAATTGAAATTCCGAGCGACAAGAAGGGCTTGGTAAAGTCGACAACTTCAGCGCGTCGAAAGTTGGCGGTGAATGGGGCTACGACCATGTCGGCTTCCTGAAAAATGAAGGAAAATAGAGTGAATCCTCTGTGCAACGAACAATCTACGCTATAGGAGAGTTAGTTGGTTTTACAGAAGTCTCAATCTATGGAAAGTCTCTCTATAACGGACCCAAAAAGACTGGTTCACTTACTCCTCTCAAAATCTCACCAATCATCCCATCCCAGCTTCCGTTCCCATAAATGTCATTGCCATATTTGTTGTCTTTGACAACATGAATAGTGTATGTAAAACCTAGATCATCGGAGAGTTCGTGAAGCAGGTCAATGCAGAATCCCTCAAATTGCGAGTTCTGGTCCAATTCGAAGTGATTCTTCTTTAGCATCACGTAGGGACGCTCCTGAAATCTTAACAGTGAAGTTGTTAACCCAAAAAATGTTAGTCGTAAGAATTTTTCAATCCTGTTTCTACCGTAGGGAGGAGCGTTTCCATAAAAAATCTATTTTTTCCGCGCGTGCCATTTCGAGCTCGGGCTTATGAGTTACAAGCAATCTTCAAAGCGGTGTTGTGACGTCTCCTGGCTAAAGTCTGATTTGCAGAACGAAAATATCCTTTCTTGTAAACAACTATGTACTTTGCAGAACCAAAATAGCCTTTATCGTAAACAACCCATATTTTTCTCTTTCTATTTGAAAACACGCCCGTATTTTTCGACAAAAAAGCAGCATAATAAAGCTCGGATGGAAGAGCGAATATTTTGAATTCAATGATTGTATATTTTCTTTACTATATTTGTTTAAATACTAATAAATCTATCTAACTACTTATATTGGAATATATGGCTCACAAAATGGAGCTCCCGGCGGGTGGCCAATATCGGTCGGCTTCAGGACCAATCCGATCAGCATTAGGCCCATTGTTGACCAGAGCAAAGGAAGTTGTAAGTACAGTAAAACGCCAAGAACCGTACGTGGCGCAAAAACAACAATCAAAAGAGGAGAACATATTACTGGCCGAAGAAGTTCAAATCAAGTTTGAAACGTTAAATAAGAAGGAAAAAATGTCGTTGGAAAAAATTACTGGACATCATTTACAACTATATTTTAAATGAACTACGATACGTAAACAAAACCGCGGAGCAAGAATTGAACGACAAGTTTAATGAACAAACTGAACTAACCAAGACGATCAACGATTTGGAGGATACAGAAATAGAAGTCAGCGAACAATTAAGACTAGTCCACCTTGCATTGAATAAGTTACATGGAGCCAATGCCAATACTGAGCAGTCGTCAACAACAATGGAAAAATCCGACCACACAGAACCGCGAGTTAAGTTGCCACAATTCCAGTTGCCCATATTTAGAGGAGATGAATCAGTGTGGACGGCGTTCTGGGACTCACAGAAATCCTTAATACATGACAATCAGACCCTCTCCAATATACCAAAGTTCCAATATCCATTGTCATGTTTACAAGGCGATGCAAAAAAGGCGGTGGATTGAGACAAACATCGTAGACGATGTGTAAACCGTTAGATTCATACAAAGATTGGATACAACTCATGCGATCCGCTAATCCGACTGTATTAGTGCGGCATTTACTGAAGAGACACGATGTCAAGGCAAAATCACTTGGAAATAACATAGAGTTGGAACACTGCTATCCTATAAAACTTCAAGACGTAAGATATGTACCAAATCCAGGAAGATGCGACGTAGCTTTAAAAGTAAAAGGATCTACAAAAACCTGGTTTATGGATAGAATAAGTTTGGAACTCTCTCCACCGTAAAGTCTGGATAGTATGGGTTACTTTAATAGCAGCTATCCAAACATATGCTACTTGGATCGTAATCATCGAAAATTGCAAAGGAAGAATGACACAACGTAGCTCAAATCCCAGAGAACCGGACCAACCACCTCGAGAACGTATATTTTTCATTAGACGCCCTCAAAGAAACGAGCCTGAACCAACGGTACGTTTTCAGCCCCAAGAAGAACAAATCGAACTACTCCTTCAATCAAGCTCCATAAGACGTCAAAGCAGGTATTTAGAAGGCCTCCTGGATATAACGCAGAGGGAGGGGAGCGTAGTGACGTCTCCTGGCTAAAGACTGATTTGCAGAACGAATATATCCTTTCTTGTAGACAACTATTTTGCAGAACCAAAATAGCCTTTATCGTAAAAAAACCCATATTTTTTCTCTTTCTATATGAAAACACGCCCATATTTGTCGACAAAAAAGCAGTATATAAAGCTCGGATGGAAGAGCGAATATTTTGAATTCAATGATTATATAATATTTTCTTTACTATATTTGTTTAAACCCTAATAAATCTATCTAACTACTTATATTGGAATATATGGCTCACAAAAGCGGGAAGATTTTAATTGAGATTCTAGGCCCAGCGGTTCCCAAGATCAAAGTGGAAATAAAATTCTTTCGACTTGTATAACCCACCATAATCGTGGACACTCGGAAATGGGGTTTGAGTTCGTCCGAAACCTTCACATTATGTTGAATCTGCGCCTTCGAATCATGACTCATATTCACATGCACGTCCGTCTGCGGCTCCCAATAGCCAATGTCGTCGATGCGGCCGGTAAATCCGAGCAAATTAATGCGAAACGAGAAATTGGAGGCGCCAAACATCCGCCCCACCCTGCTCAAATCTCCACTCAGCCCCAACACGGTGTTGTTTTTGACGGTGTCGATCAAGATACGCCCATAACGATAGGGGATGAAGCCGCGCGTCATGGAGCGACAGCGGATCGAGTGGATCTCCGTCTTCAGCGGGTAAATCTGGGCCATTTTGTGCAGGGATTTGGCGGCCAAAAGAATGGAGTCGAAGGCGAGCACGGCTTCCGACATCTTCAGGGCTTTAGTGTCGCCGTTTTCGAAGGTCCAATTGGAGCGGATCTGAGCCTTGAAGTCCTCAAAGTCGAAGCGACGTTCCGTACGAAGGAATTGCGGTGAGACTAGCTCCACGGAGATGAAACGAGCGTGGTTGTGCCGGAACAGCGACATGTCCATGGTTCGGAGGTCCTGGAATAAGATGGTAGATATTCCTGTTAGTAAAAATGTCCATACGTATTAGTCTGCCGGGAAAATAATGAGCACTCCGTTGCATCGAAAATAGCATCGCCGTAAAGAAAATGAATTTTGTCGCGATAAAATCAAATTGCTTTTCACCGCAGCGATACGATTGGCGAAGTCACATTGGGCTCATTATTTTCCCGACAGACTGATATTGGTCTTTTCATAAAGTGCATGGACATTTTTTGCGACCCGCACCGTGCACAAAAAACACCCCAGTTTGCACCGTGCGTTTCCCATTCTTTTCTGAAGAAATTGCATTGTGCTAACGGCATTTTTGAGGCTTGCACAGTGCGAAGAGAGAAAAATGCACTTAGCAAAAGAGAAAAAATATCCATTCACTAAAAATACTAATTCAATGAACTCCTATGTAGCAAAAACTCTCTATAACGAAAAATTAAGGCCGGAGAACGTTACAAAAGCTTACCATTGAAGTCAACAGAAACCAGTGTTTTAATTCGATGAATCCCATTTGAAGCGCCTAAGTGATGAACCTTGTACTAAACTTCAAAATGCACTTACCGCCAGCAAAAAATCATAGGTATCCTTGGGGTTCATGTCCACCAAAATTCGACTGAATTGTTGGCAATCACTTTGCTGAACGTCGGTGCAGTCTTCAAGCGTTTTTATCTAGAAATTTGACTGCTCATTTTTAAAGCAATATTGGGGCAATTCAAGTGTAACATTTGAACAATTTTACCTGTTTAGTGGCCGCCAGAAAATCGCCATTCTCCACTTGAACAAATTGAAATCGTATTCCCGAATAGAGCTCACGTTCCAGGAACGGAATAAGCCGGACAACTCCTAAAAATACGGTGTAAGATGTAATATGTGTCAGTTTGAGTGAAAAAAAATTAATTTTGTTGCGACACAACTCATTTTCTCAGCCGCGGTGCGATCTTCGATGCGACGAAGTGCTCATTATTTTTACGACAGGCTAGTAAAAATACATGAAGCCTGCGTACAACAAACCACATTTACAGAGAGGTTCATTCTTGCCAACAATTGGCTTTTGAGACTTAAACTTGAGGTCTCAAAATGGCTTCAGCTCGGCCTGGAAGCCATGTTTAGTTCTACCTTACGTGAATTTTAGCTCAAGATTTTTCGTTATAATCAAATTTTGGTATAAAGAATTTTTCGAAAAATAAATTTTTTAGCCCATTTTTTGTCGCAAAGCTTTTTGCATTATGCTTTTCAATTTTTCTAAAACCGCCTTGCATCGCAAAAAAGTCTATGCGCTTTAAAAAAATTGTAAAATTAATACTCACGTTCAACCTCCGCATAAACAACAATAACCCGATTCCATCGCCAATGTTTGATCAAGTCGCTGATGGCATCATTCAGATGGACCCTTGGAAACATCTCAATTTTTGATGAGAATTTGTTTCTAGACCCTTCCATTGCTGGATCCAAGGGATGAGGGACGGAGAAGTCATCAACAACAGTGAATAAAGGAAGGTCTAGCTAAAAAAATACAGTAGCGTTAAAGTAGAATGTCTGTAAAAACTCACTGAATTGGCCAGCTGAACAAGTTGAGCACTCAAGGTGTTTTCAGCAGGAGCAAAAAGTCCAAAGATTTTTTCTTTCTCCATCAGTTTGCATGCTAAAAATATCACACATTCCAATAAGAAATTTGTTGCCTTACTGCTCTTCACCGCTCCATAATGATCTCCCGGCTGAATGCTCTTAACCTTCAGGCCAAATTTGCCCAGCTCCCTGAAATTCTTGTTCAGCCAGCCGACGGCAAAATTGAGGGCTCCCCGAATGTGCGCATCCTCTTTTTGTCGTAAAATTGCACCTGAAATCAGGGTTACTTTGCAAAGATCAGTCTGTCTGGACAATAGTGAGGATTATGTCGCTGCGCCAATCGCGTCGCTGAAATGAAAATGAATTGTCCCGCGGCAAAATCAAATTGCTTTTCACTTAAGCGACGGGCTCGACGCAGTGAGATCGTACTCATTATTTTCCCGACAGACTGATAACAGAGGAAGTACCAGGAGTGCGACTCTCAAGTTTCGATGAAACTTGGCACAAATTTAGACAAATTTTTTGTATGGCCTAGTCGACGCTCTTAGTTTGCTTTTTCCAGAGATGACTAATATTTTTAGATCGAAAGTCGGCGGAAATAAGCCATGTTTCTGCAAATTTTGATACGAAAATTTTATACCTGTTTCTACTGAAGAGGGTTGTATTTTCTTAAAAAAACAAATTCCTACGACACTGAAAAAAATGCACGGTAGAACTTCTGTCTCACAAAGACCGTCTACAACGAAACCTGTCTGTAACAAGCAATCCAAGCAGCCTCAGTGTCAATTTTAGGCCAAAGCAAACCTCCATTTCCAACGAAGCCCTTCTACTTATTAGTCTGTCGGGAAAATAATGAGCACAATATCGCTGCGCCGATCGCGTCGCAGAAGCGAAAAGCAATTTGATTTTACCGTCACACAATTCATTTTCTTCGATGCAAACAGAGTTCTCATTATTTTTCTGACAAACTGATATGTCGAATTTATTTGTCAGTTCCGTGCGATTTCTTGTACAGAGCTTTGACTGTTGCTTACAATTAGTCAAAAAACTCACCAAAAGTAAATGTAAATCCATCCGCAACTTGTAGGTTTAGAAGAAATAGCAGCGTCAACAAGTTGAAGAGAATCATGGCCGGAGGGCATTTGGCGAAAATCCACTCGAAGATTTTCTCTTCGAACCATTTAAGGGAGCGGAAATTTCATTTAGCGCCAGTTGACAGGTCCTGGCCCCCCAAGAAACTCGAATTAATCCTCGGGGGAATTTTGAGTGACAAATAAGAAAGATGTATGTAAAGATAATGATGATTTAAGATGATTTTGACATGTACTTTTGAACCTTGGTATAAGGGTCTCTACACAAAGATATTTGTCTATAACGGACAATTCCAGAGGTCGTTATAGAGAGTCGTACGTCCACATAAACCTAGAAGGATCTCCGTATAAGGATTTATACTCAATAACCATTTACGGAAGGCTTGTTTTTTTAAATTAGTATTTACGTAAAGTGCATGGACATTTGCTCCCTTTCGCACGGTGCATTTTGAACACTTTCCCACGCTTGTCGCCAACGCACAGTGCATTTTTCTCTTTTCGCACAGTGCAAACCTCAAAAAAGCCGTTTGCACTGTGCAAACGCCTGACGTCGTCGCAACCTGGAAATTGCCACTGTCGCAGCAATATTTCAAACGCACAGTGCGAAAACCAAAAAAAAAAAGTGAAATGCACGGTGCAAACTGGGGAAATTGCGACAAAAAAGCCGTTTGCACTGTGTAAATTGTTCAGAAAAACCAATGGATATTTGCGATGCACGGTGCGGAACCAACTTGAAAACGAAATGCACGGTGCAAATGGGGGCTTTTTGTGCACGGTGCAGACAAAGGTTTGTCGCCAACGCACAGTGCAATTTTTCTCTTTTCGCACAGTGCAAACTTCAAAAAAGCCGTTTGCACTGTGCAAATCCCCGACATGGGCGCAGCGACGTAACACAGCGGCATTTTGCCATTTTTTGCACCGTGCAATGTCTGTCGCTCGAGCAAAATTCTTGGCGACACAAATAAAAAACCTTGAGCCGCTGCGATTTTTCAATTGCACGGTGCGAAAGGTCGACTGCACAGTGCGGAAAGCTTGCGACAAAAAAGTCCACGCACTTTTGAAAAATCGCAATACGAATGGTCTTTCTTCCCGACCACTTCTAATCCTGCTGGATTCGTAGAGTTTGGTCCACCTGGCTTGTGGTATGACCGCTCGGGGCAACGACCTTGTCCTTGATCTTCAAGATGTTTTGGACAATCTTCTTGAGCGCCCGTTGAATGCTCAGGTTGAAGGTCAAGTAGACGAATGGAGGAAGTGCTGTGGCCAATATGTAGGACATGGTTGCAATGAGTCCGCCGTAGAATCCCACGGGAACCAGCTGTTCGAAGGTGTAGGAAAAGCTTGAAGCGAAATGGAAGAAGCCGATCAGGATGACTTGAATGTAAGTCTGAAATCATATAATATGTTATTCCCAAAATTTTTTTTCAAAATCACTTTACCCTTTTGTCATTGATGACCCTGTCGAGCCCCCGGAACTGATGAATGTACAACCCAATGAAGACCAGATAAGTTGTCGTATGGGAAACACACATGGCCATGTTATGGATCGAATGGAAGTTGCTGTAGTACTAAAAAATTGCGCAAATTATTGGTATAAATAATGAAACTAGTAAAACAAGTCTGTCGGGAAAATAATGAGCGCAATGTCGCAACGCCGTTCAACTGAAAAGCAATTTTATTTTGCCGTGACAAAATTCATTTCCTCGGCCGCGATGCGATTTTTGTTGCGACAGAGTCCATATTATTTTCCAGACAAACTTATATTTTTATTAGAATACTAAACAAACAGCTTACAATCTGCCCATTATCCGGATAATACGACATGTGAGGGTTGAAGAACAGCGATAAATTCACCCCATCAAAAACCGGAGGGACTATGCAAATCGGCACTAACGACGCGTAAAAGATGACAAAAGCCACCCAGAAGATGTTCATTCTTCCGCCGAAGAATCGTTGCGCAAATCCTTGGCCTTTCAGTTCACAGCAACGATTAATATTCAGAATTAACGTTGTCAGCGTGCTGCCAAACCAAGCGGCTGAAAGAAATTAAGACCTGATCCAATGGCAGAAACTGTACCATTTTGCATCCGGGAAGTACCAAAAAATGTAGCAAAATACCTCCCTCTCCAAGTGAAAAAAAACTGCAATTTCAAAAGCGCGCTGGCTTTTTTGTGAAGGAACCCTTCAAAACGGAGTTTTTTAGTTGGAAAGGGAAGCATTTTGCTATGTTTTTTGATACTTCCCGGATGCAAAGCAGTATGCCACCGGATCCGATCACTCCAGCGACTATCCGAAAGGACTAGAAATGCTAACAAGTCAGCTTACACAAGCATACCATCCCATGGATACACAGATATCTCGGCGCAACACAATATACCACTCCAATGTAGCTGAGGACGCCAAATACAAGGGAATTCCCGTGTAGGTCGATAATGTCGATAATCGAAAGTAGTATCATCAACTGGTAGCACGACCTCTTCCGCAAGTCCGTCAAGCACATTGTCACAGCACATAGAGCGTACAGTGGCTAAAAATGTTGATCAGTCGAGATAACTAGTGAGCGCGACGTCGTATTGAAATTGCGTCGCCTCCACCGGCGCTACGACTTTTCGGGTCAGCGACAGTCCGGGTCAACGATACTATGGACCGCGTGGGTTCGTTATTTTATGCATGGGAGGCCAAGAGAGGGTATAGTTAGAAGAAATAATAAAATTGGTCGGGTCCTGGGAGAGCTTATCACCTATTTTGAGGTATTTTACATGTACTCACGACAATAATATTATATGAATATAAAAGTTGCGGGTCTTCGTTTTTTTCCGCAAACTTTTTTACAATAACTCAGGATAAAGAAAACTAACGGTAGTAAACGCTAAAAATGTAGAAGAAGCTCGCATATTGCAAGTCTTTGCCAAGCCTCCGCCAAGCCTTTGCCGAACGCCCACCGACCATCCAGCGGCTTTTACAGGCCTTGTAGGCACTTCCTACACCATTTTTTTAGGCATCCACCAATCGATCGATACGTCCCGCATCGATCGATTTGTGAAAAACCCGAACTGTCATCGACCCGAAAAGTCGGGAGGCGCCTCCACTTACCACACTAATTGCATAGATCCCGACGATCAGCACTCCGAACACCTTGTGTTGTCTCTGCTCTGTCGGAATGCTGTCGTAGTCGTAAAAACTACAATTGTAGCGGCGCTCAAAGCCCTCGGGGTCGAAAAAATAGGGGTTTAGATCGGAGCGCAGCTTCTCCCAATAATTCGAAACATTCATCGCAATTCGTGCAAGAAAGAAAATAACTCTTGAAGTCTGAGCTCGAGTATATACTAATTAGTATGCGTAGTTGCTTGCAGTTTTCGGAATAGGGTGAATAATTGATGGATTTGGTTGTGAAAGTGTTTTTGTATATGTATTATCGTGCAGAGTTAGTTTACAGATGTTTGAGAATTTTTTTAAGGTTAATAATGTGACGAAACTTTACGACGGGATTTAAAGATGATATTCCGTTGTGACTCGAACGTACTAACTCGTTTGACAGTCGCTGATCAGTTTAGAAGTCGCAGCTTGAGCGAGCGGTTGGCCGTCACAGCATTTGGGAAATTGGCGGTGAAGCAGCGGAGTGAGCGGTCGGCCACTCATGCTAGATGATATTGGAATATATTGTGTGTATTTGCCATCTTGTGTTGTGTTATTTGGGAGGATAAACGAAGTTATCGCTTATTTTTGGGGTTGGAGAGAGCTTTTTCTAGGACAGCGTATTAGACCCTGTGTCTGATCGTGTTGACGAGGAACCGAGGATCTCATGGCAACACCGTTTCCCAGAAGCGATCGAAAACCGCCAAGGCCTAATTTCAAGGACTGAAACACTCAGGCGCCATCCTAAATATTATTTTACATGATAATACTACAAAGTACGTATTTACAGCGAATGATAGAGCGTTTGCTGCATCTTAATACAGTAATCAATTTTTGCAAGGTGTAATCAAATAGTGTAAATAAGCATACTGTTTCGCACAGTGCAGTTTTATAGTTGAAAAAAGCCTATGCTTTTGCACAGTGCAATTTTGTAGAGCAAAAAAGAATTTTGCACGGCGCAATTAAATATTTAAATTAACGTACTGTTTCGCAAAGTGCAATTTCATAGTGAAAAATAAGAAAATTTGAACTGAATTTGACAGTAACCACTAATGAAACTTGCATGTTTTTTCAAACGTCCCCGTTTTCTTGCAAAATGTGCATTTTCTTGCAAAATGTGCATTAAAAATTGACCTTATTTTTGTCTCCACGCTATACTCCACTTCCATTCCAATTATTTACACTTCTTGTAGCTGTTTTTACATCCGATTCCATACCTGTTTCCCGGGCAACAGAGTCCATAAAAGGGTCTCTTTACACCGACAAGGGAATTTTCCAACCACAACTAATTATCGCCTCAAATTGCTTGTTATTCATAGTAGACTTACTATACATATACTATAAATAGTAATTCCTTTCATTTTCAATATTTTTTTAAATTTTTTTGAAGGCTGAAATTTATTTAAAAAGATTCTAAATTTGCAATTTTTAATATCCCGATTTTTGTCTCTATGAAATGCCTGAGGGCTTTTATAAAAATGGCAATATTACGTAAGCTCTTTGTCTGCGATTTGATGAAACTTACGTATGTTTTCGAAGGGGCCTTCGGAAGGGATTAGTCCACTTTCGTATATGATATTTACGGGCGAGAAACAGGGACCTTTACGTATTATTATTGCAAAAACTTCTTGAGAAACCATCCTTGATTATAATTATGGGGAAGACAACTGGTCTTGGGAGTGAGATTTTTTTATTTTGGTAGTGAGATTTTATAAGTTTTAAAGTTTTAATTTTTTTTTATAATTGAGGTAAAAATACGTAACTAAAATAATGCCAATTTTGGACAAAAAGGCTCATCAGATTCCCTGGTATTCGTCGTCCCTTTCTAACAAGGGAAGTTCCCCAAGTGCAACGCACAGATTTTCAGATTTCCTTCAAACTTTGCACACATGTCGGGCATCGACTAGATATCAATTCCTAAAGGTTTTAGCTCGCGCTTTGCATGCGCCGCCGAGATATTGAACAATAGTCGTGAGAGTATGCTAAACGCGGAGAACGGTCAGAGAGAAAAAGTTATGGTTTTCTTGGTCATAACCTTGCAAAATCCGTGCGAAAAAAACAGATTTTTCGTGGAGACATTACCTTCTATGGTAGAATAGGCATGAAACTTTTCGTGCCGAGATTCGGTAAAAAGTCTTAAATTTTCGCCAACTTTCCATCTAAATATCTCGGTCGTTTCGAGATTTTTTTCTGCAAAGCGCGAGCTAGGGTTCTCGCATACATTTTAGAAAAAAATATTCAAAATTTGTGCCAAGTTTCATCAAAATCTGAGCGTCGCACTTGGGGTACTTCCCCTGTAAGTTTCACCGATTTCGGGCTCCAAAATTTGCCGATTTTCGGTCTAAAAATCTCGGTTGTTTCTGCAAAGCGCGGGCTAGGATTAAATTGGGCATATTGCAAGTCTCCGCCGAGGCTTTGCCGAGCCTCCGCCGACCATCCAACGGCTTTGCCAAGCTTCGTAGGCCCTTCCGACAACTTTTGTTTGGGCATTTATCTGCCCTACGTCCCGTATTGATCGATTTTCTGTTGACCCGAACGGTCGTCGACCCGAAACGCCTCTTCTTGTAAAGCAACTTTTATATACTTTATATACATATAGTAGCTAAGGCTAAAAGTTGCTTTTCTCCTCTCTCTGTTTGTCCTAGAGTTCCAATTTCTTTGTCACCGACCCCAACAATGATCCCTAACGAGCCCAGTGAACCTCTTTTTTCGCGTCACGTTTCGCAAAACTTTATATTTTAGAATACAATGTGCGGAAATGAGGCGGGCGGAATGGGGGGAAGATCGAAGCGAGGGAACCTCTAAGACAAATCATCGCGACTCATGGAGGCTGCGCTCTGACGTCGGAGGTTTTTCGTCTTAATTTTTGCGTTGAATTTGCGTTTTTTTGAGTTTTGACCGGAGGCGAAATTTTTGAAAAAAGTTGAAAATCACCGTTACCAATCCCTAAAAAAGGAGTTATATAATACTGTCGCGAAACCTCAAGTCGTATTTTACCCCATCCTGTTCTTTTAAATTGGAATTGCCCTAAAATTCGTCGATTTCTAGACAAAAACGTCAAATTTTATGCATTTTACGTTTATGTTTACAAATTTTGGTTAAAGGCAAGCGCAAATTGGAGAATAGTCTTGACTAGCTTGGCCATTGTGATGCGTATTTTACATTCACAACTTTTTTTCCCGCTGCTGCTAGCTTCTTGTACGATTTATGACAAAAAACGTTAAATTTTATGCATAATTTACGTCTTGCTTCATAACATACAGCAGAAGCTATTTTAGTGTTGAAAACAACTACAACGATAGATGACTTGCGCGTATTTTACTTTTAATCACCATTTCCCGCAGTTTTTCAAGTATTTATGGGCAAAAAACGTTAGATTTTATGCATAATTTACGTTTCGCTCCATAACATAAAACAGAAGATATTTAGTGTTGAAAACAACTTGAAATATAGATTTACTGTATGTAGTTTACTTTTAATCATATTTTCTCGCAGTTTTTCATGTATACCGGTTGACAAAATTTTCTTTCCACCTCGTATCTCGGGAACCGCTGGGCCTAGAACCTCCAAATTCGGCATAGAAACATCCTAGGACAGTCTAACAGCATGCCCAAAAAATCATATCATTTGATGCACTTTACATGCCCTTTTTCCAAAAAAGGCAAAAACCCGGATGACAAAATTTTCTTTCCACCTTGCACAGCATTCCGAACTTTTTTCGCCACCGATCGGTGTCGAAAAAAAATCGAAAAATCGAGAGAGGGGTATGCATTTTTTTGTGTTGCCGGCTAGCAAAGGCAGGTATTGCAAAATTTGAAAAGGTGTTTGATACCCTGAAGATTACTCATTCTAATTATACAAACATTGTCACCATGCACTTTGTAACCCCCGAGAAAATCGCATTCGAAAAAATGAAAATTTCAAATTTAAATGCAATGAAAATGCACTTTCTAGTTGACTACTGAAGAAAAAAAAGATGCTATCGTGGAGAGAATTTTGAGTACTTCCTAATACGTATATTTTTTTGCGTTGTTTTCTAACAGTTTTAGAGCTAACGTGCAAAAACGCCTTTTTTTGCACTTTTTCCGACTTATCTGCACTTTAAATGCAAAAATGCAAAATCCTCCGAGCAATTATCATTCTTGGCATCCTTGTGGATATACATGCCAAATTTCAAATTTCTACGACGCTCCCGTCTCCTGTTATATCGATATAATTACGAAACCTTGACAACTTAAGTTCCCGAAGAAAAACGTAGAAAGCTTGCTGTTTTTACTGTAGGATAGCCTTATTTCTTCCTAAAATGTATTTTTCCAACCCCGAATGTTATTCGTACAGTTTATGAGACAGCTTCATGTCATCATGAAAAATGTTGATTTCATACACAAGTGCAGCTTTTTCTATTCCAGTTAATGCAGTCCAAACGCAAGCTAATACCTTCAAATTCACAAATAGAGTACATATAACGACTTTTTATCGAAAATTTCACAAAATTTATATTTCAAGGCGCGCTAATAAGCTGTCAAGGTTTCGTAATGATTTCGATATATCAGCAGACAGAAGCATCGCAGAAATTGGAAATTTGGCATGTATATCCACAAGGATGCCAAAAATGATAATTGCTCGGAAGATTTTGCATTTTTGCATTTAAAGTGCAGATAAGTCGGAAAAAGTGCAAAAAATGGCGTTTTTGCACGGTAGCTCTAAAACTGATAGAAAACAACGGAAAAAAATATACGTATTAGGAAGTACTCAAAATTCTCTACACGATAGCATCTTTTTTTTCTTCAGTAGTCAACTAGAAAGTGCATTTTCATTGCATTTAAATTTGAAATTTTCATTTTTTCGAATGCGATTTTCTCGGGGGTTACAAAGTGCATGGTGACAATGTTTGTATAATTAGAATGAGTAATCTTCAGGGTATCAAACACCTTTTCAAATTTTGCAATACCTGCCTTTGCTAGCCGGCAACACAAAAAAATGCATACCCCTCTCTCGATTTTTCGATTTTTTTTCGACACCGATCGGTGGCGAAAAAAGTTCGGAATGCTGTGCCTTGGAAAAAACGTTTGTAACTCATAAGCCAGAGGGTTTTCATGATTGTGGTATCGTTTTGTTCGCGAAGAAGTCCTCACTCGATTGGTGTCACAACCTTACGGGGGTTTTAGTTTCTTCGCCCTTGGGCGTCGGCTCATCGTTGCCTTGTCCATTTTCAGCCAAATTCGTGGCCAGAGGAGCTCGCATAAGGCACAAGGAGATGAAAATGCCTTTAAAAAATCTGGCATTCATGTTTGTTTCCTCCGGCAGTAGAATTCGATTTAATTTAAGCGCGTTGCAGGGGAAAACGCGCGCTTCCAGGGTTCTCGTTACCAGAAAATTACGCTATTATGGGAACACTGCAGATAATTCAAGTAACTTTTCCTCCTTATATATTTTCTATGATACTACAGAGTTAAAAAATAGTGACGATTTTAATCACTGATGTCGCGCTTAGATGTGAGCAGAAGAAAGGTTCCAGACGCCCCATGTACAAAATTTGCGACTCTAAGCTTCCTGCGCAAGCTATTCGTCGTGGAAAAAACGTTGAAGGCCTGTCAAGGTCAATGTATTAAAGTAGTCTGGTAGCCAAAAGTCCCAATATACCAAGCTTAAGTAATACCAAGGCCTAGTGCAACAATCTGCGTTACTTGAGACGACATAGACCAGAGAGGGGTAAGACAAGCTGGTAGATTTCAACACATGCTGTCGTATAAGCCCTAAAGTACGCCGTATGTAGCGAAAATGGAAATTAATTTGGACGTTTCCATTCTGTACAGAAGTGATTCTTCGGTTTTGTGGACCCAGGCAGCGCTCATTTTCCCCTGCAACGCACTTAAATTAAATCGAATTCTACTGCCGGAGGAAACAATGCTGTAAAAATGAATGCCAGACTTTTTAAAGGGATTTTCACCTCCTTATGCCTTATGCAAGCTCCTCTGGCCACGAATTTGGCTGAAAATGGACAAGGCAACGATGAGCCGACGCCCAAGGGCGAAGAAACTAAAACCCCCGTAAGGTTGTGACACCAATCGAGAGAGGACTTCTTCACGAACACAACGATACCACAATCATGCCTTAAAACCCTCTGGCTTATGAGTTACAAACGTTTTTTCCAAGGTGGAAAGAAAATTTTGTCATCCGGGTTTTGCCTTTTTTGGAAAAAGGGCATGTAAAGTGCATCAAATGATATGATTTTTTGGGCATGGTGTTAGACTGTCCTAGGATGTTTCTATGCCGAATTTGGAGGTTCTAGGCCCATCGGTTCCCGAGATACGAGGTGGAAAGAAAATTTTGTCAACCAGTATATTTATGGCTAAAAAACGTTAAATATTATGCATAATTTACGTTTTCTACTAAAAAACCTCTTGGAATTGCCTCAACAAAAATGAATGAAATTTGAAAAATTCGTATTTTACAAATTCACTCTCTTTTTCCCCATTCCACCGCTTCTTTGTCCATTTTCCCATCAAAAACGTGAGATTTATGGAGGAAAAACGTCAAATTTTATGCATTTCGTCCCAACTTTTTTCGAATTTTGCGAACACGCGAGAACGGCATCTCACGGTCAGATGCGTCTCTGGGGACTACCAAAAAAATTTTTTCTCCCCGCTTTAATAGTTGTTTTCCTGTCGAGCGGAACGCATTTCGGTTGAATATTGCACTGGAGGGCGGAAGAGCGGACGGATTATGGGGAAAATCGCATTATACGGAGGGCTGAAGGTGTTAGACGGCTGGTTCATGGTCTCAACAGCGTGTCCAGGCTATTTTCGAGGTGTTGGAGAAGGAATTCCGCTGGGTTTGAGCTGAAATTATATTATACTTGGGAGCTGTGGGGATTTGGCTTGTTTCGCATTTTATTGATGGAAAACGTGGAGCAAATGCTGTTATTTTGATTGATTACAATATTTGACACCTTTTTCTTTCATTCCCCGTTTGTTTTTTGTTGAAAAAAACTCTTTTCTGACATCAAATTTGTCTAGTACAATATAAATTCGATCCATTTCCCCGAGAGCCCCCACTTTCCGTCGACGAGCCGGCTTGACCGCGTTTCTCGATTCGCTCCTCTTCCCCAGTTTGGCGATTGTTTGTTCAGTTCCGGACGTGTTCTCAAGCAAGGTTTTATTCGTATGTTAATGTGGAGCATTTAATGGCTCTCAGCGCAATGGGGAAGATCCATTTCACGATTTATGGAACTTTTATGACTTGCCTAATTATCCAGGCTGTTCGGGGTGGTCTTGTCGCTTCGAATATGTTCGATTGTATCGTTTTGTTTGACGATTTTTGAGCTGGTGTCATGGATAATATAATTTGTTGAATTTCAGTGGACTTGGGCCTGTCAATGCGGATTGAAGTGTATCCGAGGTACACGGTCTACTTGCAGTTCCATGAATTCTTTGCGATCGACCTGGTTCATGGGTTTTACCAGGTAAATTTTACAATTTTTTCTTTTGAGTTTAGATCTACTGCAAGATGATAAAAAATCTCAAGTTTCTCCCTATCGCCGACAGGATTCTTTTGAAATAACCTTCCTCTAGGTTCGATTCCGTCTTCGGCCTGATTTGGAATACGAATTTGACGATTCAATAGGAGAAAAAGAGAATAATATTATCTATGATCAACAGGGTCTCACAAGGCCGATTAAAATCGCCTTCAACGAGCAGAATGTGGAGCTCAAGAACTCGTTTTGGTTGCGGATCAAAGGAAAGAAGAGATATGAAAAGTGTGAAACGTTCTTCCTGCATTTCCAGGTCTGTTTTTTGATTTGGTATCTAAAATAAGGTCATGTTTGATTTTTAGGTAATTTTTGCAGTAATTTCGAAGACTCTGAGGATTACTGAAATGTCATAGCACTTCAACAGAGATATGAGAGGATCTGACACTCATTTTGACTTCATTTTATATGAAAAAATTTACTTTTACCTAGTATAATATAAATTTTCTCTCAAAACTCAAAAATTTTCAAATTTCAGGTGGAATTATGGTACTCCGATCCCGAACAAAAGCCAAGCCCGCATAATTTTCAGTTCATGTCCAAGCGATTGGTCAGTGTTCGCCTCAATTCCAACAAGTCCACTCATTGCCACAGGGCCGTTTTCTTCGAATATTTCAGTTTCTCGGCCGCTTCAATGACTGTCCACGCATGCGTAACGGGTCTGGAGACAGCCTTGACGAAAACAACTCCTGCGCCGGTAAGAATTTGAGACTTGTTTTGTCAAAAATTTTTATATTGTACATGGGAAATGGTGAATTTTTTTGTAAAAATGATGGATTAAATTCTTGCTATGACTTTTAAATACTCTAAATATTATTTAGAGCCAGTTTCAGCCGTTTTGTGCAAAAAAATTATATTATCCATGACAAAAAATTTGGAAAATTTGGCCCATTTTTGATATTTTTAGCCTGGCGTTCCCGACAAACTTCGAAGATATCATCGACAAGTCTGCAGCAAGCTCCTCGACTGCACATTATCCCTTCAAATGTTCATCAAGACCTACGAAAGCCTTCTTTCCTCTCCGTTATGTATTTGTAAGTAGTTTTTCATACAATTTTTTTTGAATTTAGACAAATCTGGCCATAAATCCCCTAATGAAGTCGATTTTCAGCCTGTATCGACGTTGACGAAGAGCTGGGACAACTCACGGCCAAACTTTTGGCCTCCAAATCCCCATGGACCACCTTCTCCGAGAACGCCAAACTCCTCGCCCTGAGGCTGGGTCGCATTTTCCATCAACTCGTGCAATTGTACGGCCAATGCCGCCGACTACACATTGAAATGCTGGAGAAATCGGATCAACAGCGGATGAAACGATTCGCTGAAGGGTTTTATTTCATCGAAGAAACGGTCCAGAATCTCCTGGAGTGCGAGTTGAATCAAGCCAGCCGGATATTTGACTTGGTCAGGAAGGATGGATACTTGACCAGACTCCCGACCGTCCCGGTTACGGTCGATGGAACTGATGTGGAAGGTCAAAATGTGTAAGTTTTGGGGATTTTTTGACGATTTTGAGCTGGAGTTTTTTGAAAGGGGACTCTGAAAGGAATTATTTGGACAATTGTGGGATAAAAATGGGAAAATTTTGGTTTGAAAGGCGTTAAAATTGAATTTTTCCGGAATCTTGGCATTCTGTTGCAAGGGCTGAAAACTCATAAAAAAATACTCTAAATTACTAATAAACGCGAAGATACAGTGTGTTATCGAAAATCCTAGGTTCACTTGTCAGCTAAGAATTTTTTTATTTTTCAAAGGTTTGAATTTCCCGCCGAATTTGGCATTCTGTTTCGGTGGCTGAAAATTACTACAAAACATCCGAAAGTGGTGGTAAACGCGATGATAAGGGTTATCATTATTCAAAGGTTATTTGTCAGCTAAAAACTTTTTAGTTTCAAAAATCTGAATTTCCCGCGAAATTTGGCATTATGTTTCAAGGACTGAAAACTGGTAAAAAATACTGGAAATTGCTGGTAAACGTGAATATAAAAGATAAAATCGAAAACCTCAAAGTTTATTTGGCAGTTTAGAACTTTTTAATTTCAAAAAATTGAATTTCCCGCCAAGTTTGGCATTTTGTTTCAATGCCTCAAACTTGTTAGAAATGGTAATATTGGAGAGTACAGGTGTAAGCTAACACCGAAAATTCAAAATTATTCCCCATTTTTTATTTTGACCTTATTTTAGCACCCTAATAGTGGAACGCCGATACTTGCCCTCTGGCGCCACCAAATTCTCCCGTGCAATTCCGCTTGCTGTCCACTCCACCAGCTGTCTTCCGGCATTGGCCAGTGATGAGCTCACCGTCCAGTCGGCCCGAGAACCCGTCAGACCGCGGGAGAATCGCTCCAGCAACGCCTCCATGGAGAAGCTCCACTTGATCGGCTTTTGTTTCCCGGTAGCACGCTCCAAGGTCCAAGACGATGACGCGTACGGGTTGAAGGAGGAACTGGCACCTCCAGATGATAGATTGTCCAAACGCAGAATGACGGATCCAGGAGAAATTCACCAATTACTCCGAGGAGCGGAGGAAGTGGAAGACCTACCGAATTATGGAAATAAAACACAGAAGTCGTACTCGGTGGCGGAGATAAGACCAAATACGGTAAGGGGAGTTGATTGAGATTGGTTTTGAATGCAGGAGATTGGGATTTGAGGGGTTTGGGTAGCTGATATTGCACTTGAGAAGATTTGATATCAAGTGTAATGTAAGGTGGTTTAAGGGTAGAGATTTGATGGAAAAAGATGAGAAATTATAGTATGAGGCTTGTTATGGGGTATTCATTCATTTTCGATAAAATTTGATTTGAAATTTGGATGTTTTAAGACCTGATATTACACTTGATCAAGTAGGTTAAGATAATTGATCGGCGAGCTCATAAAATTTACTGAAAATAATTAATTTTTTCTTCATCTAGGCCAATGATGTGACTACTTTCGCCTCGACCTCGAATTCCTCCACGGACAGTCTGACTCGAAGCGCCAGAGGCGATATCCACGAATCCGTCCAAATGCGCTTGATCGACCGGGAAAGAGTCCATTTTATGGAGGCCAAAGAGTGTTTCAAACAACGCCTACATCACTTTGGATTCACTGGCAACCTGTACAGCGATCAGAACTACTTCACGGACAGGAAGGCGTACTTTAGCGACAACTTTAGCCAAGCCATCGAAAGGAGGTCCTTCGAGAATTTGCATCTCATCGTGCTGGTCCACGGATTGGAAGGTAAGGGAAATTTGCGGTGATTTGTGGAGTATGGAGAATGAAAAAGTGTTGGAACAAAGAATCTGAGCGATTTTTATGGTTTTGATTGGAATTTTGGTCGAATTTTGGCATTCTGTTGCAAGCTAGAAAAGTTTTGCAGATGGCTGAAAATTGAAGAATTAGTGGAAGGATTAGAGTTTTTATGGGGTTTAGAATTAGTTTTACGAATTTTAAAGCATTTTTTTGCATGAATATTAGAAAAATTATATTATCCATGACAAGTTTAATAAAAAAAAGTGGAAAAAAGCTGTCAGTATCTAAAGTTTTATAAATTTTATGTCGAATTATGACGGTTTACCCTATTTTCTTTACTAATTTTTATTTTCAGGCACCTCGGAAGACCTTACAACCTACAAAAATTACCTCCAAATCGCACTGCCCGAGCAAAATTTCTCATTTTTGTTGTCCGAGGTGAACCAAAACGAAACGTGGAGCGACCTCCAGAAGATGGGATCTAACCTGTTAAAAGAAATTAATCGATATGTGGACCGATTGCCGCGACTTCCCGAGAAAATTTCGTATGTTGTAGTAGGGAAGGGACGATTTGATTTTTTGATGGATAAAATTTTTATATATTCTGTTGCAGGTTGATCGCCCATTCCCTTGGAGGCTTAATAGTCCGAGCGATGTGCGGCCTCAACGAAGTCCAACGATTGGAGAGCAGATTTCACACATTGTTGACGTTGAACTCACCTCATTGTGGAGTACTGTACAATCAAAGAGCCGCCAGTCTGGGTGAGTGTGGAATGGAGCTTTTTATTGTCGGAAATGTCATTTGTGATCTGTCTGTTCAAATTTTAGGGCAAATGGGTGTTTTTGAGATTTATAATTTGAATTTTCCGCCAATTTTTGGCATTGTGTTTTAGGGCTGAAAAGGGTGGTAAAGTAGGATGAAATTGAAATGTAATGACTTGTAAACGTTTGAAACGTATTTTTTTTGACGGTTAGAAAAGATTTTGAAATTTAAAATTTGAATTTCCCGCCAATTTTTGGCGTTGTGTTTCATTCCGAAAAATCGTCGAAGAAAGGGCCAGAATGAAATTTTAGTACTAAATAGCGACGTCAGAGAGCCAAAAATACATCCCTTAATGTTTTTGAGGGTAGTTCATATATAATTTATGTCATGCATCACCATTTTTTAGGTATTTCCCTCCTCCAATGGTGGAAACAATCCGTTTCCCTCGACCAACTCACCCTCAGAGACGCGCGCAATCCCAAAGACACGTTTCTATACCGCCTCGGACAAAACAAAGCCTTTGGGATGTTCAAACACGTACTTTTGGTCGGCTCCCACCTCGACTTGTACGTCCCGTTGCACTCGGCGCTGGTGGAGAACTGCAAAGCGGCCGCGGTGGACTCGTCGGTCCAAGGAAACGCGTACAACGAGATGCTCGCCCATATCAATGAATCCATAATCGGATCGCCAAAACACACCACATTGATCAAGTATACGGTATCACATAGCCTGACCAATGTCTCCAGGGCCCAACAAATGACTGGAAGACCGAGTAAGTTAGTTGGGTTGGATGATGAGGGAATTTTTTGGGGGATATAAGGTTGGATTTTGCAAAAATTTTTGGAAAAGTCGGTGTTTTTGGCCTTTTTTTTGGAAAAGTTGAATTTTGCACTGTGCAATTTTTTTTTTTTTTTTTTTTTGAATTTGAAGCTTGCATTTAAAAGAAAAGTTGGAAAAAATTTTAGAATAGGGTTTCGCAAGACAGATGAGAAAGTTTTAGCTCGCGCTTTACAGAAGCCACCAAGATTTTTAGTTCGGAAATTTTGAAAAAAAAGTTATCCATAGGCTTTTGATGTCTAAAATAATGTCAAAGTAAAAAGATCTCAGAATTTCTTCAAAATTTTTATACTAGTCGCGGAAAAAAGTCCTGGGAATTTTCGGCGACTCTGCACTGTGCATGAACCCGAAATGTGCATTTCCACAGTGCAATTTTGTTGATTTTGCCTTATTGTCGCGCGCGATTCCCGCGACAAATCAAGCTTTCGGAGCGCGACGGAATTTGGGGCCGCGAGAAATTCCCAGGACTCTTTTCCGCGACTAGTATAACCTCTAACTACGCCATGAAAATTTCAGTTGATTCTTTGCATCCGGAGTAGAGATATCGAACAATCTTTTTTTTCCGAGAGAGTATACAAAATGAGGAGTTGGCCAGACAAAAAAATCAAAAATCTGTTTTTTACGAGCTGAATTTGCGGAGTTATAGCCGATTTTTTTTGTCTGGCGAACTCCTCATTTTGTGTCCTCTCTCGGAAAAAAAGATTGTTCAATATCTCGGCTGTGGATGCAAAGAATGAACTGAAATTTTCAGCGATGGATCTATGGCGTATTTAGAGGTTCTATAAAAAATTTGAAGAGATTCTCAGATCTTTTTACTTTGACATTATTTTAGACATCAAAAAAAATTTTTATTTTTTTTATAAATTTTGCTGGATAATTCTGCAACTTTCAGTGCACATTGCCGTCGTGGACGACGACACTTTTGTGGAGAAACTGATGATGGTCTCAGCTTCAAACTACTTCAAATAAACTTGTTTGTACATTACTGATAAGCCTGGTACATCTCCCCCTACTTACTGGTCGCATCAGCTGTGTTATGACTAACATTCCCAAATGAAACATAATCGCATTTGACGCCAATTTGAATCAAGTTAACTATTAATATCAATAATAGTTGTGTAATTATCACTAAAATAAATTATTATTAATTTTGGATTTGTTGAATTTTTTTTGCGGAGAGAAGGAAAAACAATGGATTTAGGGTAAAATACGGACATTACTAAGGGTAAGCTTTAAAATTTACAGTATATTTTACCATAAAAAGGCAGATATTGAGCTTTTTTTTATTTTTTTCATAATTTTCCTTTGTTTTTCTGACAAGATATTGATATCTGAGGTAAAATACGCAATAAAAAGATTGAATGCCAATTTTGGACAAAAAGGCTCAGAGTCCTTGGTCTCCGTCGTCGCTTTCTAAGCTAGGATTGCACTTCCTATCAAATAAAGGATCATCACAGCCGAGCGGCGTCGAACCCCCGCCCGTTCGCTTCAAAAGCGAACCCGCGAACCACTCGACTATGCAGACGCACTCGCAAACTGCGTTCTTTTTCTTTCGGATTTTTTTCGTTGAAAGAGGAGTGGTTTGAAGGACATTTTGGCTCATTTTTGGAGATAAAAAAGGAATTTTTTGTCGTAACTAGGATAAATATTACAAAAATGATTTTTTTTTTTCAAATTTTAGAGGTCATCTGCAAGTGTTTTGGAGAAAAAATTAGATTTTTTATGGGCAATTTTGATGATTTTTATCTGATTCCAAAAATGTTACTGGTCAATTTTTTGTAAAATTTGGCTAACATGCTCCAAATAGACCACAAATCAATCACTGAAAATTTTAGCTCTTAATTTGGTCAGACAGAACAGATATTCGGTGAAAAGTTTTCGAGAGAGTACACGAAATGAGGAGAGTCGGAAAGAAATTTTTTTATTGGCTTTATCCTCCTAAGAATCTTGATTTTTTGTAGCTCAGAATCTAAGTAATGTATTAGAAGGTTCTACTCTACATATTAGGAAATCTTCAGCAAAATCGAAATGTCCAATTTTGAAAAAAAAGATAAAAAAAATTTGTCTTAAAGTCGTCTTTTTTTTGTCCAAAAAAAAGTGGATTACTCAAGCTATCCCCCAATCCCCCATTTTTTTGTCATTACTCATCGATGATTCTTTTTGCACTATAAACTGCCATTTTTTTATTTTTCCAAATTTCCCATCCAATTTTTTGTTTTTCAATTTCAAAACCAGTCAACAGCCCTGTTATCTCGAACAAAAATTTAAAAAATCACCTTTTATCGCGGCTGAGTCACGTAGATTACAGTAAAAGATTCAATTTTTCACAAATTGCAGCATAATTCGCTCGGGATTTGTCTCGCTTTCGAGAATTGAACAGGGATCCCAAGGGCTTCTCACGTTTTTCCCGGCGTATTTTTAGGCGTTTTTGATGGGAATGGAAGATCCCTTTTATTACACAAAGTGGTCGGGTCATTGGACGTGGAATGGCGGCGAGAATTGGTTGAGCAAACGCGCGGCTCATCGAGCTATTTTTGGTTCGGGGGAATGGCGGAATCTGAAGGGAATGGGGGTTTTGGAAAGTCGAAATTTTGAGGGGAAACTTATAAAGGAAGTAATGGCTTATACTCCAAGCGCGACACTCAGATTTTAATAAAACTTGGCTCAAATTTAAAACAACTCTTTCTAAGATATATCCGAGATTTTTAGCTCACACTTTGCAGAAACGACCGAGATTTTTAGGTCGAAATTTGGCGAAAATGTGACAATTTTTTTGCAGATTTTGGCATGAAAACTTTCATGCTTATTTCTACCGTAGAGAGTAATGATTCCACAGAAAATCAATTTTTTCCACGCGAAACTGGCAAAGATATAGCCAAAAAGTGTTTTTCTCTTTGACCACTCTCCGCCTTTTGGGCACTCTCTCGTCCACAGAGACAGTTGAATATCTCGGCTGTCACTGTAAAACACGGGCTAAAACTTTCAGGAATTTATATGTAGTCTATGCCCGAAGTGTGTGAAAAATTTAAAGAAAATCTGAGCGTCGCACATGTGCTACTTCCCCTTGAAGAAGCTAGCCGAAATGATGATTTTTGGTAAGAAATGTTGGCGAAAGATGACTTCATTGTAAAATACGGACTCTATGCTCGTAATATGTAGAGCGGAATCTACTTTTTTCCATTTAAGGAATATCCAAACTTTTAAAATCGGTCTGTCGGGAAAATAATGCACCTTGTCGCATCCCATATACATAACTCAAAGTTTAGTGAGTAATGACCCACAATTGCCAGCAATTTTTCGGGAGTGTGTCATATACTATTGTAGTATGATGTTTCTAGCATTCGAGTTGCTAATTTGACGGATTTTTCAATGTGACGTCAAACTGGCGTCATTTTCGTCATTTTGATCATGCTGAAAATTCCAATATACGAGGAATTCAAAAGCGAATTTCACATAGGCTATGATGATTACAGTTAACGTTAGGCTCAACTGTCAGTCTGTCGGGAAAATAATGAGCAATCAATTCGAAAGTCGCATTGCCACCGAGAAAATGACTTTTATCGCGGCAAAATCAAATTACTTTTTACTTCAGCGATGTGATTAGCGACATTTCTTCATTATTTTCCCGACGGGCTGAACAAGATTTTTTTTAGAAATTTTTGATTTTTTTGCCCAATTTTCCCAAAATCTTCCATCATTCAAATGATTTTCATATGCCGAAGCCATCAAAAATACGTCATCGACTTTGGAAACAAGCGTCCTTTCTCAGTTGCTCTAAATAACCGAAGGAAAAGCCCTTGAACTCGATTCCCACCCCCCTGATTTCGAGGCAGATGGGCGAGAAAGAGGAGGGGAGAAGGAGTGAATGAATGAGGGTATCCCGTTCCGTCAAAAGATGGAGGGCCGGCGGAACACTTCCCTCTTTCGTTGCCGATGGAATTCTGAGCCTTTGAGCGGGTGAATTCATCGATTTTCAGGGGCTTTCTTACAGTTTGTTGGGGGAAAATAGGGGAAAATGGTGATTTTAGGGTATTTGGAAGACGTCCAAGTGTTAAGTTCGGATTTTCTTCTAATTTTACACACATTTCGGGCATAGGCCACATATCACTTCCTGAAATTTTTAGCTTGTGGTTTACAGGCGCAGCCGAGATCTTCGACGATCTTTGCTGCCGAGAGAGTACGCGAAATGCGGAGAGCGCTCAGAGACTAACGATCGTAAGCACTTTTTGGCCATATCTTTGCTCCGCGGAAAGAGAGTATTTTTTTGGAAAAATTTTTCTCTACGGTAGAAATATTAGGTATGTAACTTTTCAGTCTCTCGTGTGTAAAGATTGTTGAATATCCCGGCTCTGCCTGGAAGGCGTCAGCTAAAATTTTATAGGCCTTTTATTAAAATATTTGGCGCAAAAAGAATATATCGAAAAAATCCAAAACATTTTTTCTTTTTTCAAAACGTAGCAGTGCAAATTTTTTTCTCCTTTTTGTAGGTTCTTGCACGGTGCAATAAGTTTTCTTGTTTTTTAGCCTTGAGTTTTCACCTTGACCATTTTTCGAAACGTTGAAGTTCAAAAATCTTTGAAAGCCTCACGTTTTCTGTTAGATTGCAAAAAAGTTTTTTAGCGACTTGTTTTAGCAAAAAAAAAATATTTCAAGATGCAAAAGATGACCAAAATGAATTTTTGTGTACTTTCATGAAATGCATGGACATTTGTTGTGGCCCGCACCGTCCACAAAAGCTCCCATTTTGCACCAATGCCGCTTTTTTGACTGCAAAGAATTTGCACAGTGCAAACGGCTTTTCGAAATTTGCACTGCGCGAAAAGAGAAAAATGCACTGTGCGTTGGCGAAAAAATGTCCGTGCACTATATGAAAATTCTATCAGTCTGTCGGGAAAATAATGAACACTTTGTCACATCAACGCGACATTGCGCTCATTATTTTCCCGACAGACTAATACATAACAAAAAAATTTTATATGTATTTTTATTTTTTTATTAAGGCCCTCCGCGAGATTCTTCTCACAGAGGCTTCTCTGTAATTCAAAAAATCTTTTTTTGAGCAGAAACTTCCTCAAAACAATTCTTCGACATTCCTCAGCCCTCCGCAACGTGACATTGTGGAACGAGGCAGTCCATTTGCAAGCCGAAAACAGAGTTTTATTTCCTTTTCCAATTACTTTTTCCCCCCATTTTTTATTAATTCGTCACACCCCAACGCCGCGTCGGATTCGGGCGCGCAAAGAGGGCGAGATGAAAGATCACCTAAGGGCAGGAAGAGGGGGGGGGGAGGGTTTCATCCACGCGCAACTTCTGCAAAATTGACCCAGGGAGAGTTTGGGAGAGTTTCCTCGAAGCGACGGGAAAATCAAGAGGTTTTGAGGAAAGCGTTGAGGAGAGGTATATAACTCAAGTTTTGCTGAGTAATGACTTTGGAATTTCTGAGGTGTATGACATATACTAATATTTCTAGAACTGGCGTTGTAAATTTGACGGGTGTTTTTTAATAAGAAGCCATATTAAAGTCATTTTTGTCATTTTGACCATACTGAAATCTTTGATAAACGACGCTTTCAAATGTGAATTAAATGTAGGCTATGATGATTACAGTAAATGTTAGTCTCAAATATCAGTCTGTCGGAAAAATAATAAGCACTCGGTCGCATCGAAAATCGCATCACCGCCCAGAAACTAAATTGTGTCGCAGAAAAATCAAATTGCTTTTCACTTCAGCGACCGATTGGCGCAGCGACAGAGTGTTTACTATTTTCCCGACATGCTAATAACATGAGTACTTTCATAGAGTGCATGGAGACTAGTTCTCTTTCGGTCACTGAATTTTGAACTTTTTCCCACGCTTGCCGCCAATGCCCAGTGCATTTTCCTCTCTTTACACAGTGCAAATCACAAAGCCGCCGTTCGCACTGTGCAAATTCTACAACAAAGCCGCAGCAACGCAATTGAAAAAAGCT